CTGCAGGTACACCAGCTTCAAATAAGCCAAACCAAGTGCTGCAAACATTTATAAACATCTCTCATTTTTGTGACATAATGTTTCTGATATTTTTTCAATGTCTTCATGTTATTTATTGTATTTTATAGTATCTTTCTACCCTTTTAATTTCTCTTATGTGCAATACCTTGTCTGTTATGCTGCTGCAACGCAAACATTTCCCAAATTGGGATCAATGAAGTACATCTTATCTTATCTTAGAATATTGTGTTGTATTGCAGTGTCCTTTTAAGCATGTATTGATAGTTCGTCTGTCTCCTCTGCCTGGGACTCTGTAGTTGATACTGCAAGTTTTTCCAATGAGTTTTAACATTTGCTTGTATTTAGTTTGTAAAAGTGTACCGTGAGTTGATCGTAAGGGTTGTTACAGTATGGCCGATATTCTAACAGTATTCCTGTCTAACAGTTTCACGGTATACGGTATTGAACCATCATCAGCTCTAATAACCCTTAAAGATATGAGAACTCAGTTGTAAACCTGATAGAAAACATAGCTAGGCATGTGAGTCTACATCTTAGTTGCATGTTAAATTAAATACTAATCAGCTTTGATTCATGTTCACTTTCCCTGGTAAACAATAAATACGGAGGCGTGTGACGCAGTGGGTTGTGCGTTGGTGTTGGGATCAGGGGGTCACAGGTTCAAACCCCACTGCAGTCAGCATGTCGTTGTGCCCACTTCACCCCAAATGGCTCCTGTGGGGATTGCCCACAGTATTGAGTATGTAAGTCGCTTTGGACGTCTATAAACTGCCTTCTCGTCGAAGCATTAGGAGACATTTTCTAGCATGTTCTCTGCACCACTTGTGTTGTTATCATTAGAGTTAGCAGTGGCTCTCTAACCTCTTAACCCAGTGCCTAACTGTAAGCCTGTCAACAGATCCCTCTCTGTAACCTGCAGCTTAACACCTCGAATCACAGCAGCCACTGTCACTAGGCCTCTTACCCCGGCTGACGCAATAATCCAGCCACTGACGTTTAACTGAAACCGACTGCAGCCCACAGAAAGCAGCAAACAATCGCCTCGTGCAAAAAACTGAGCTCTTAGGGGATAATGCTAAACGTCACTGAAGGGAAGAACAATCTGCTTTGTGCAATGCATTAAAGAAATCTACTGATATGTATCCTGATGCAAGAGCTGCTGCATGTCCTGAGAGAAGCAGGATAAACATACTTTATTCATCCAAGGGGGGATATTGGGTTTTGTTGCTCCATTTTTTAATACAAGTCAATCAAATATTTACAATAACATAATAAGTTCAAGTAAAAATGTGCAATAAAATAATACAATTATATAAAATTACCTTTTATAGTAAATCATTGCCATAAAACATGAAATAAAATCTAATTAAAATGTAAAATAATAATAAAATGTTATAGTAAAAGTATGCAATAAACAACCAAATAAAATGGAATTAATTATTTAAATAAAAACTTGAAATGATGTTTAAAATAAAATAAAATAATAATAATAAAAGTGAAATATTTACAGGAGGTTTATTTCCAACAATGTGAATATTTTAAGCTACTTTTTTCACTTAAATACCTAACATGTTGTTCAAATACTGATCACGTTTACTTTAAGCAAACAAAGCTTTTAAATTAGGATCGTTTCCAATGAAATAACAAAAATCTGACTTAGTTTTTTTTACAAATATTTAAACCTTATGGCTCATATTTCCAAAATGCAAAAGATCAACAGGCTCGTTTTCAGTTTGATCGCTAATACATGTGTTTTAATGGGGAGACGTGACAAAGTGAGGAGGAGGAGGAGGAGGAGGAGGAGGAGGAAGAGGAAGAGGCAGATGGTTGGTGTTTAAGTCGTGGTGATCCCTGACAGGGTTTCAAACACCTGAGCCTTTGTTAACCTGTGTTAGTGTTGCTGCCTTCAGCTCAATACCTGCTGACCACTGTTCCTCTTTTTAAACATCTGTCTACACGTTAGTCATGAATCACGACTGCCTCTATCAGTGTCCTCAAAGGACTCAGAGGACTCAGAGGACTCAAAGGACTCAGAGGACTTCAGGTGGAAGATGAACTCAGGAGAATCACACAGGATGCTCTTAAGGCTTTGAAACAGGACCAAAATAACATAAAAAACACAAAAGGCGACTGTGGCTGAGAGGGAGTGTGGTCGTCTTTGTGTGTGTGTGTGTGTGTGTGTGTGTGTGTGTGTGTGTGTGTGTGTGTGTGTGTGTGTGTGTGTGTGTGTGTGTGTGTGTGTGTGTGTGTGTGGCCTAGCATTACTATACTTGTGGGGACCTAAATCTGTTTACACAGTCACGTGTGGGGACTCGCCTCCCTTATGGGGCCAAAATGGAGGCGAGTCCCCATAAGGGGAATCATACATTTTAGGGTGAAGACTATTAGATAAGTCTCCATGAAATGCATGTAAGTCAATGTAATGTCCCCTGAAGTGATGTATACATGGTATGTGTGCGAGTGTGTGTGTGTGTGTGTGTGTGTGTGTGTGTGTGTGTGTGTGTGTGTGTGTGTGTGTGTGTGCGAGTGTGTGTGTGTGTGTGTGTGTGTGTGTGTGTGTGTGTGTGTGTGTGTGTGTGTGTGTGTGTGTGTGTGTGTGTGTGTGTGTGGACTGGATAAAGCGCTATATAAGTACGGTCCATTTACCATAAAGAAGGTCAGACACACTTCAAAAACTTGTTGCGATATCAACTCAGATTAAAACTCTTCTCCAAAGTTAATTTGACTGCTTACTAAAGTGATCGTAGTACAAAACACGAATCAGGTAAACATCTTTTCTCACCAGACTAATAAAGAAGCGTTATTTAAACACATTAAGCACACAACTAAAATGCAATTCCTTATTGTTGCTGGATGATGTTACACAGCAATGCAAGCTAAATAGAGTAGTTAGCCTTGAAAGCTTCATTTATTACCCTAACAGCAGGGGTCCTAAATGATTTGCAGGTTAAGTTGCATATTAAACTGGGCCTATCACAGCGTGTTAACCGTGTTTAACATTATAAACAAACAATGTCATGGTGCTTACAGTACAAAGCTATTAAAATAATTATACTTTAGCTGCAATCAGTGTTTTTCTTTCCATTTTTACAAAAAGGAGCCTTACTTATCTTTCCTAATACCAATCTCAAACGTTTAAATTAGTTAAGACAACAAGTTAAACTGTATTTAATGCATAATGAATATATAGTGTATATTTGTGAGCTGTATAACTCACCAGTTGGTGGTTGGTGACGTTGGAGTCGTCGTCGGGGTACGGTTTGGTCACTCCCATGGCCACACAGTTGGCAAAGATGGCGAGGAGAATAAAAATATCAAAGGGCCTGAGGAGCGGAGTTAAGGTACAACAGGAGATGCATCTTCACAGGAAATACACACAACAACAACAACAACAATATAATACAACTTCTACCCAAGCTACATCCCAACATATTCACATCAGCACATGCAGAACTGTCTGCATACATATATGTTGGGGAAACTTCTGAAGCAATTGGAAACAGGACTCAGAGAGACACGAGGAGAGCTGGAGCTTTGATGGCAAACACTGACGGTTTATTTGGAGTTACGTCCGGAGAATTCACAAGACAGGTGGTGTGTCACGAGTTGACTCAGCGGTTGCCAAACCAATTCTGAAGAACTCTTTCTGTATCTCGAGGTTTTAACTAGTTCGGACGGAGTGTAATAATCAACATTCTTCATCAGCGAGACTAAACAAATATGGACCCTGAATCTAACTAGAGCTCTCGTCCATAGGAAATAATGTGCGCCAGGGAACCTTCGTCCCTGAACAGTAAACGACCTCATGGCGGCTTGTGCTCGGTCATAGACTGGCAACAACAATGCGCCCAAGCTGCCACTCCTTAAGAGAGATAGCAGCAGTACCCAAGGCCGTAGACCTATGCCATGGGAAAGAGACAGTGAGAGGAGAACATGATGAACTGTGTCAAAGGTTGAATACCTAAGCAAATTATTCCCGAACAATATATATATATATATATATATATAACCCAATGTGAGATAGAGTATAGGAAAAAACCTGAGAAGAGAAATAGTTTATGTTGTTTTGCATTTCAAAGATAAAGTTAAAATGTTGAGAATTATAACTGTTCAGAATAAGTTATACATGTTGCAAATAAAGTAGACATGTTGAGAACATTTTGAGAATAAAAAGAACATTTTAAGAATAAGGTTTAAAGGTTGAACATGTGGTACAGTTACTGAAAATAAAGTCATCATTTGAAGAATAAATTATATCTCTGGAGGATAAGATATAAGCGTTGAAAGTAAAGTAAAAATGTTAAGAAAAAATGTAATACGTTGAAAATAAAGTCAGTTTTTAAGGATTCATGTTGAGTATAAAGTGGAAATGTTGAAAGGAAAAGTCAAACTTGTAGTTGTAATGTGAAATAAACATACATTTTTATATTGACTCGACACCTGAATATGTTACTTATGTCCATATTTTTTAAATTGCTGCTACTCATTTTTAGCCATGGTTGTGTACTTAGTTGTCTTTATTTGTATTCTATTATTAATGTGTGCTTTTCTTCTCTATATTTAACAAGTTAGTTTACTCTTTATTATTGCATGCCTTACTTGTTTTGCCACTTCAGCTGCAACACTGTAAATGTCCCCGCTGTGGGATTCATAAAGCAACTCTGATTCTGATAAACTAAAAGTTTGACATTTTGACAATATCCTCAGAGAGTTCAATCCTCTTCTCATTTGTCCCCCTCGTGCCTCTGAATCAGAAACAGGTTTCTTGCCAAGTACGTTTACACACACGAGGAACTTTCCTAAACACAGTTAAAGAAGATCAATTGTAAGAAAAACAAACAAAAAATCTAAACTATTTAAAATAAGTTAACTCTCCGTATTCCCTGCCCTCTCTGAAGGATATTTTTTCTGCTAAATATTATAGTCTGAGCAGGTGAATGTATTTTCTTATACAGGAGTGGGTCTGTGTGTTGGTAGTAGGCGTAACACGTACTCTCACCATATCATAGTTTAATCACCAGGTACAGTAGGATTACATTATTAGTATTAAAGGTCCCCTATTATACTGTTTTCCGTCAATATATTATAGGTCTCAGATATATACAAAACCTGTCTCTGATTGGCTGAAACACCAAACAGATCATTGCAGCATCCCATAATCCCCTCTGTTTCAGCCCTGTTTCCAAAGTGCTGATTCTCTGTCTGTTACTTCAGATGAAAATAAGGAGCCCCTCCCCACGCCCCTCTGAGAGATATTTGGTTAAAAAGAACAAAATGGTGCTCGAGGAGGAGATTCAGGTGATAAGTGGGGGGGGGGGGGTTACCTTGGTTGGTGATTGGCTAATGGTTACACAAGCCAAAAAAAAGTATACTATACTATATAAAGTATAGTGGTGATAGTGGTGGTCTAATGGATAGTGAGGTGGGCTGAAGATCGGAAGGTTGTGAGTTCAAATCCCGCCAGGAACACCACCACTAGTGTGCCCTTGAGTAAGGCACTTAGCCTTCAGTTACTCCAGGGAGAATGTCCCTGTAATTGGTAAGTCGCTTTGGATAAAAGCGTCAGCTAAATGTAATGTAATGTATAATAGAGGACCTTTAAGTAGGTAACTGTAGTAATTGCAGGTACTCTACAACCAATTTTTTTTTTTATATTATAAAAAACAATTTAAAAATAAGTAAACTCTCTGTATCCCCTTCCCTCTCTGAAGGATACTTCCACTCCACCAGGGCGAGGGCGGCCATGCGGATGGGGTTGCTGAGCGTGAGGCAGCAGAGCGCTCGGGGGGCTCGCATCGCAGACTTGTTGGCCTGCATCGCCTTCTTCGCCCCCCCGCCTCTCTTTCTGGCCGAGCCAGCGGACCCCTCGGCTTTCCCTCCATCCCCCCCATCTGTGGAAAATACAACGGAAAAACACATACAGTTAGTTATTCTCAGATATTGTACTTGAGTAAAAGTAGAAGTAACATTGTGTAATGTAACCCAGAACATCGTCCTGAAGCTTCTTTTGTTTTGTTGTTTGTTTATGGTTCCAAACGGTTGTGGGAGAAGTACTCAGATCTTGTACTTGAGTAAAAGTAGAAGTACTCAGTTCTTGTGTTTAAGTAAAAGTAGAAGTACTCAGATCTTGTACTTGAGTAAAAGTAGAAGTACTCAGATCTTGTACTTGAGTAAAAGTAGAAGTACTCAGATCTTGTACTTGAGTAAAAGTAGAAGTACTCAGTTCTTGTACTTGAGTAAAAGTAGAAGTACTCAGTTCTTGTGTTTAAGTAAAAGTAGAAGTACTCAGATCTTGTTCTTGAGTAAAAGTAGAAGTATTCAGATCTTGTGTTTAAGTAAAAGTAGAAGTACTCAGATCTTGTGTTTAAGTAAAAGTAGAAGTACTCAGATCTTGTACTTGAGTAAAAGTAGAAATACTCAGATCTTGTACTTGAGTAAAAGTATAAGTACTCAGATCTTGTACTTGAGTAAAAGTAGAAGTATACAGATCTTGTACTTGAGTAAAAGTAGAAGTATACAGATCTTGTACTTGAGTAAAAGTAGAATTATTCATATCTTGTACTTGAGTAAAAGTAGAAGTATACAGATCTTGTACTTGAGTAAAAGTAGAAGTATACAGATCTTGTACTTGAGTAAAAGTAGAATTATTCATATCTTGTACTTGAGTAAAAGTAGAAGTACTCAGATCTTGTACTTGAGTAGAAGTAGAAGTATACAGATCTTGTACTTGAGTAAAAGTAGAAGTACTCAGATCTTATACTTGAGTAGAAGTACTCAGATCTTGTACTTGAGTAAAAGTAGAAGTACTCAGATCTTGTACTTGAGTAGAAGTAGAAGTATACAGATCTTGTACTTGAGTAAAAGTAGAAGTATACAGATCTTGTACTTGAGTAAAAGTAGAATTATAAAACGGACAAGTAAAATCAAGCAATCTGATTGGTTCTTAGCCGTGGTATACTGAGCGTATACCACGGGTAGAATTGTAAATTACTTTTCACAACAACTCAGTATCCCTCCGCGTCTGAGATAAACAGTATACAGTTGGGCTGTTTCAAACTGGAACAAGAAAGCAGCGGAGAAGTAACAGGGCAGAAACCCTCCTTTTTACGCAACGGTCCAGACATAGACATCAAACGGCAAAAACATATTCAGTGTGCAGTTCCTTTGGCATTAGGACAGGGATATCTAGATACTTTCCAAGGTTTGACATAATGAATTGTGCTACTTTTAAAGCAAGCAACAATGTTTTCAAATCTGTAATCAAAAAGGTCCGCAAAAACATTTAAGATTAACTTCGACCTCCGGGGTGGGGGGGGGGGTCTTACTATGGAGGAGTGGATTGAGGAGTGCCTATCTCCAGAACAAAAAGCACCTAAACGACGACATGTAGAGCTACGTGAAGAGCAGGTAGACCAACTGGAAAAGTATCACCATTCAAAAGCTTTCTGATGCGGGTCTTGAAACAAAGCAGAGAAATTATGACCGTTAGTGGCCACAGGTGCGAAAGCTCTCTCCAGAGCTACTGGAAGCCGAATCTCGGGGACCGGAGAAAGTGGAGCAATATTCTCGCAACGCCAAGCAACAGCCTAGAACAACCTCAGCCGATACAAGTGACCACGTAAGCCATGCTACTGATGCTGGACAGTTTTTCAGTGGGTGCACAATAAACGGCAACATACAAATTAATGTAAATAAATAGCTAAATAATGGATCAACGCTCTCTGTCTAATATGTTCGCTAGCTGTTGTTAGTGTTGTTGCATAGCAACCACCTCGCACTATGTTTCGTGCAGAAGGCAACAGAGGGACTATTTTATTTTGAACATCATTATTTACTAATAAAAACTATTTAAATTAGAGTGTGTATTTTTCTTTCATATTGCCACACTTGGTAACCGTTTTATAAAAGCAATAGCTCACTTCAGGCCGTGATATATGCTCATTATATCACAGCTAACGGGGTTGTCGACCCTCCGCTTCGCGTCGGGCCGAACCACGCCCCTTAGCTGTGATATAATGAGCATATACCACGGCCTGTCGTGAGCTATTGCTTAAGTATACAGATCTTGTACTTGAGTAAAAGTAGAAGTACCAGAGTGTAGGAATACTCTGTTACAGTAAAAGTCCTGCATTCAAAAAGTTACTCAAGTAAAAGTAGAAAAGTATTATCATCATCAAAGTACCTCAGTTATCTACTTAACACCACTGTCCCTTTGTCATATATCTGTGTTTTTTATATCATACTTATTTCAAACCAATGTTTGGACTGGTTAATAAATGTTTTGGGAGTTAGGTATTTTGATCATTGTTCAGGCCAGGGTATTTAGTGTTTTTTAGTATAACACATGAACCCTCTCTAATTCAAACTGTGTAATAAGATATATTTAAACTACTTTCCTTTTGTGTCCTGGCCCCCATTTGTAAGCTTTAAATAGCTCTATTCAGTCTTATAGTTGTATTTTTGTCAATATAATACATTTAACTGAAAGAGAAATATGAGTAATGCATGTCCGATGATAATTTGTTCTGCTAAATATTATAGTCTGAGCAGGTTAATGTATTTTCTTATACAGGGGAGGGTCTGGTGTGTTGGTGGTAGGCGTAACACTTTCACTTATATCTCACAGTATCCTAGTTTAATCACCAAGTATAGTAGTGTTATATTATTAGTATTAAGTAGGTAACTGCAGTAATTGCAGGTACTCTGTCCTGAGGCCTCATATTATTAGACCAGATGTGACCTACTTATCCAGGTACTGAGGCCCAGGATCACCTGAGGAGGCCCTCACACAGTAAGCCTGCAGGAGCAACCTCACACAGTTTTTACACATCTATTATCATCAGTTAAAGGATTAAATGTGCCCCCATGCCACCTGCAGTAAACTACAGCACTGTGGGCCATGACTATTTGATATTGCATGACTTTGACGGTATAATGTTGTCACTCAGAGACTTAGTGAGCAGTTCCTACCTTTCTTCGCGTCCATGTCCGCCGTTTAACCACGAAATCACCTCAGGAAACCCACCATCAACTCCTCAGGGGATCTGCGATGCGTTATGGATCACAGGTATTCACTTCAACCCCGAAAAAAGAGAACTTTCTCTGCGTAAAAATTAAAAAAAGAAGCACCATGTGCAGCCTGTCATCTCAGCTGCAGGCCATGCTGCTCAGCTCTGCGCACACATCCAATTAAAGCTGATATAACTGATAACGCGTATTAATAAAAACTGCAATTGCTTTGTTTATATCCACGCAGGCACATAACGGTGAAGGGAAGATGAAACTAACGCGTCCCCAGATCCTCGGTGGTCAGCCGGGAGGATTAGAGGAGCTGAGCCGGTTAACGGGATGAGGATCTGAGCAGGGGAAGGTGGAGGAACACCGTGTGAAGGAGTTGTGGGCACAATGTGGGGAAAGTTATATAAGCTGAATAAAATGATATTAAGAAGTAGTGCCAGGATATTTAATAAATAAGGATGGTTTGGCGGGAATAAGAGATGGTTTCAGAGAAGCAGCAGGGGGTGCAGTACCGGCTGAGGGCCACAGAGGGCGCTGCCTCACAGGGAACACACGCACTGTGATTACAGGAGGGACACCGCGTATTATCTGAACCCACTGCATTACTTTAGGCTACTTTAAGCTAGAGCCATGAACATGAACTTTTAGTTTTAACTCGGAAATGCATTAAAGGTAGGGTAGGTAAGTTTGAGAAACCGGCTCGAGATACACTTTTCTCTTCCTGATGCGCCGGTGAAGATGGCCGCATCGTCTTCGTGCTCCTCTCCAACTTTGCCCATTTTCGTATTTTGTACATATTTCTTTTACTTTTGCCGTTTTACTTTTAACATGGTTCGCAACATGCTAGCCGACCGCACCTACTCTGCCATACAATATAGCAGAGAGGAACTTTTCCAATTGCGAAACTTCGTGGACAATATTAACCCTCCGACAGACAATGGAGATTCACCATGGCTACCTGTTGCTGTTATACCTGAGAGACGCAAGAAGAAGACAAAGCGGGGATGCCGGGCCGGGTTGCTGGTCAAACTGAGAAAACGTGAGAATCGGCCCCCTCTTCCGAGTATTCTTCTGGCTAATGTTCAATCCATTGAAAATAAGCTAGATGAACTCAGAAGCCGGATTGCTTTTCAACGGGACATTAAGAACTGTAACGTGTTAATTCTCACTGAGACTTGGCTCAACCCCGCTATCCCGGACTCCGCTATTGTCCCTGACGGATTCTCTATTTTTCGTCAGGACCGGACTGCAAACTCGGGGAAAAGTAAGGGAGGCGGTGTGTGTGTAATGACTAACAACAACTGGTGCTCAGATGTGAAGATTATTTCATCGGACTGTTCCGCACAGCTAGAGCACCTCATGATCTCATGTCGGGCCTTCCATCTGCCGAGGGAATTCACATCTGTTGTGATAACAGCAGTGTATATCCCGCCGCAGCCACTCGCCGACAACAACACGGCACTCGATCAGCTGTTTGGGTTTATTGATAAAACCGAGACTTCACGGCCAGATGCGGCGTTCGTTGTGGCCGGAGATTTCAACACCGCCAACATGAAGAAGGTTTTGCCAAAATATTACCAACACATCAACTTCCCGACGCGCGGGGGAAACATACTGGACCATGTTTATTCCCCTTTCCGGAATGGATATAAGGCTCTCCCTCGCCCTCCCTTCGGCAAATCAGACCATATCTCACTACTGTTGTTGCCTGCTTACAAGCAGAAACTTAAAAGGGACAGACCGATAACAAGGACAGTACAACGATGGAGCGAGGAGTCAGATTCAGCACTGCAGGATTGCTTTGCATCCACGGATTGGAGTGTGTTTGAGGACAATAACATCAACACACACACGGACACTGTCATCTGCTACATTGGGAAATGCATCGATGACGTGGTACCGAAGGTTTCTGTACGGACATTCCCAAATCAAAAGCCCTGGGTAAACGGTGAGGTGCGCGGCAAACTGAAAGCGCGCACTCTCGCGCACACAGCGGGAGATTTGGAGGAGTACAGGAAGTCTAGGTATGATCTCCGGAGAGCAATAAAAAATGCAAAGAGACAGTACAAAGAGAAGGTGGAATCTGACTTCAAAGGCTGTAACACTAGGAATATGTGGGCGGGACTAAGGACAATGACTGACTACAAAGGAGCAGCGGGGGGGTGCTGCGGGAGTGTCTGCGTGCGCATCTCTCCCAGATGAGCTAAACAGTTTTTTTGCACGCTTTGAGAGCAGCCAGGCTGTGGAGGTACAGAGGGACCAGGAGCTACACTGCCCTTTTGTTTTAAATAGGGCAGATGTGTGTAAATCCTTTAAAAGGGTTAACCCACACAAGTCTCCTGGACCTGATGGCATCCCTGGCCGTGTTCTCAGGGTGTGTGCAGTTCAGCTGGCAGAGGTGTTCACAGACATCTTCAACAGGTCCCTGCTGCAGTCTGTAGTCCCCACATGTCTTAAACACTCCACCATCATTCCTGTCCCCAAAAAGACAATCATCACCTGCCCCAACGACTACCGCCCAGTAGCACTCACCTCCATCATAATGAAGTGCTTTGAGCGGTTAGTCAAATTATTCATCACCTCCTCCCTCCCTGAATCTCTGGACCCCCTGCAGTTTGCCTACAGAGCAAACAGGTCCACAGACGACGCCATAGCCCTCACCCTCCACACTGCCCTCTCACACCTGGACCCGAAGAAGAGGAACACATATGTGAGAATGCTGTTCATTGACTACAGTTCAGCATTCAACACCATTGTGCCCTCCAAGCTGGCCATCAAGCTCAGAGACCTCGGACTCAACAGCGCCCTCTGCGACTGGATCCTGAACTTCCTGACGGGCAGACCCCAGGCAGTGCGGGTGGGAAATATCACATCCTCCACCCTGATTCTCAACACCGGTGCCCCTCAAGGCTGCGTGCTCAGCCCTCTCCTCTACTCCCTGTTCACCCACGACTGCGTGGCCACACACAGCTCCAACACCATCGTGAAGTTTGCTGATGACACGACCGTCATCGGCCAGATCACAGACGATGACGAGACGGCATACAGAGAGGAGGTCGAAAACCTGACATCTTGGTGCCAGGAGAACAACCTCCATCTCAACATCAGCAAAACAAAGGAGCTGATTGTGGACTACAGGAAGCAGCAGGGAGAGGGACACGCCCCCATCGCCATCAATGGGACTACGGTGGAGAGAGTCAAAAGCTTCAGGTTCCTTGGGGTCCACATCACTGAGGACCTGACATGGTCTCTTCACACCACCACCATCACTAAGAAAGCTCGACAGCGGCTCTTCTTCCTCCGCAGGTTGAGGAGGTTCAAAATGGATTCCAGGATACTCTGCAACTTCTACAGGTGCACGATAGAGAGTATCCTCACTGGCAGCATGACGGCCTGGTACGGCAGCTGCACCGACCTCGATCGTAAGGCTTTACAGAGGGTGGTGAAAACTGCACAGCACATCACCAGGACGGAGCTGCCATCCATGGAGGACCTTTACTCCCAGCGGCTCAGGAAGAAATCACTACGGATTATCAAAGACCCCCATCACCCCAGCCACAAACTGTTCTTTCTGTTGCCGTCTGGCAGACGTTACCGCAGCATCCTGGCAAGGACAAGAAGATTCGGAGACAGTTTCTTCCCGCGGGCAGTGAGACTGTTAAAAAATTGAACTGTTGAAACAACTTCAAACATTCAACTGCTACTCAGTAGTATGTATCTAATACCTAATATATATATATCATTCCAATAACTTGTATATAGACTCATACTGCACTATTCCACATCATAACTTTATTTCATTTTTATAACTATTATTATTTTTGTATTGCTCTTGCTCTTATTGTTATTATGTTATGTTATTATGTTGCATTGTTGGAGAAGCCTGTGACATAAGATTTTCAACTGCATAATTACTCTGTAGCTATGTCAGATTGACAATAAAGAACCTTGAACCTTGAACCTTGAACTTTTTGTTATATTCCATGGAATGCTCTTAACATCCCGATAGCAATGAATATCTTAAGTGCTTTGACAAAAAATCCATTAAAAAATGTAATCTGTGGAAGCCGTAATACTGTAAAAAGCACGACCAATCATTTTAGCAGGCCCGGCTAAAATAACTGGATGGCCTACCTGCCTGTCAGCCTTCCATCGGGGCACAAACTTATCTCGTGCCCTCATTGGTCATGTGCGCGTTCGTGTGTGTTGGAGGAGGGGCTCTATAAGGAAGTGGCAGATTTTCTCCGGTTGTGCATTTTAAAATTCTAGCGATCTCGAGCCGGTTTCTCAAACTTACCTACCCTACCTTTAAAGGTACTAGTACTACCCTTAACATAAATAAATAAAACAGAAAATCCTTGGCACAAATATAAGCATGAATAACAAATAAGGTAATCAACATTTAAGGAGAATTAATTAACTAAACCACATGTGTCAAACTCAAGGCCCGGGGGCCAAATCAGGCCCTTGGTGGATTTACTTTCGGCCCACAGGATAATTTCTAATTACTATTAGATCTGGCCCGCCGGTATATTGCACGCACACCTTCACTCAACCCTGAGGGTCTCCTCCGCTCAGAGCCTGAGCCCAAACATTGATGAACTTGCACCCAGGATGAGATGCCAAGTATCTGGCTTGAACTAGCATCACAGAGCAGCACACTGAGTTTCAATGGATGTTTCCTTCTGCACTTTTTTTCTTGAGACAACAGGGCATGTTTGGTTTTTTCTTTGAGGGAAATAGTTTTTTGAAGCTGTTGTTGGCCTGTGGAAAAATGTAATCATAAGAATTGAAGCAGCAGATAGAGCCATAATAAATGAATGCAACTGATTATTTAATGTTTAATGTTGTTTTTATAGGCAATAATTTAAGCTTTGTTAGTTCCAGGTTTAATATGTGCAATAAGTTCATTTCAATAAGTTCTGCAATAAACATTGAACCAGTCCGGCCCTCGACTAGTACACATTTTTTAATTGTGGCGCACAGTGTATTTGAGTTTGACACCCCTGAACTAAACTAACTAACTAACGGTTATGTGGAAGCATGACATAAATGATATTGCAACAAGCTTAAATGTGACTCAGCTTGTTATTCCATGTTGCTGTGCACAATGACCAACTAAGTAAAAACAGGCATCGAGGGTCATGTTCATTCATTCAAACTTTATCGTAACTTGTAAATAGGTTAGAGGTAGATACATCATTTGCAAAAGTAAGAAAATAAGGAATAAATAATTAAGGAAGTAGTTATTGAGTACTGTTACGGCTGCTGTTTCTGTCTGCTCGTTAACCTGTCTGAGATTGTTTGCAGCTGTGTGTAATATATAAATGAGCTGTGTGGTTGCCCCAATGTCGTTGGCTGTCATCTCCTGGTCCTCCTCCGAAGACGCTGATTGGAGCACGCCGGGCCCGACGCTCTCCAATCCCCGTGCAATCCCAGTGCACACCTTCCGGAGATTACTACAAAGCCTGGGGACAATTATCACTCGGGAGGCTCTGCTGCGATCAGACGCCTCACACATTTTGCTCCTGTGTCGTGGACACTTCAATCTTGAGCTATAGACTGTGTTTGATTTGTAATCCGTGTTTAGTGTGTTTATACGTGTGCTTAGAGTAGCGTATTGATTTAATGTGTTTAGAGTAGCGTGTGTTTAGTTTATGTTGTTAGCTGCGTTTTCCTGCAGCCTCCTTCCAATATGGCTAATTGGAAGAGATCTCAGGTGTCTTAATTAGGCTCATTTTCAAGAGTCCTCCTGTTACCTGTTTTTGGCTTCTTTGTTTGGCTTAGGCTTATTTTGACCTCATTTTGTTGTGCACCCTTTGTTGTTGCTCATTAAACCCTATTATAATACTTACCAAATCCATCTGGTGTATGTTATCTTACTCATCCCTAGTGGGTTCGTAACAAGTACAATAATGAAAAAGGCACCCAAGAACCCAGAACAAATAAGAAATCTTATCGAAAATGTTAAGAATAAAATATAAATCCAAAGAAAATATTAATAAAAAACAGGGTGTTTAAAAATAGTTTAAAAAAAAGCTTAATAAAAAAAAACAGATTCTCTCACAATAATGAGCATTATAATTATCTCCAGTATAAATCCATAACAAGTAGAAAACTATTGTAAAGTGAAAAAAAAACTCAAGTCTTTAAGAACATTGTATGCCTTTATTGTTTATTTTATATCAGCTCTTGATAAGATAAATATATTACAATACATTACATTAAATAAACATTATTTCTCTACAGTTCAACTGTAAAACACACGACGCACCATCTCTACTGTGACTGATGCTACGACTTTAAGAAAACACAGATGAGTTTAAAGTGCTTTGTTGCTTAAAGTGGACCTATCATGCTATATTTGAATAATATAGTGTAGGACCATACCTATTTTAGGCATATTTATACTTTTTTTTTTTCAAAATACCAAACAGATCATGCATTTTAGCCATGCCTCATTTTGCTCAATTTGACAATTTATAGCTCTGTTTTAGCGAGGGCTGATTCAGTGAGAACAGCACCATCTACAGGCCTGGCATATGTACTACAGCTTCTCCAGCGCTTTCGAACGGCAATGGCCGTGGCTGTCTCCTCCTGATTGGTGGAGTTGGCCCAATAGCCGTAGCGCCACCGTCCTGACGTCAGGAGAGTGTTCAAATCTGGATCAGTTTTTATCAGATCCGTTGCAGCCCCTTTTTTTAGAGATTTGGGTATGGAGGAAAATAGAGAGGGTTGTGTTTTCTGACACTTGGTGAGTTCCCTGGAACACCGGGGACACATATTCATGTATAAAAGACGTACAAAAGTGCATTTTGCATGATAGGTCCCCTTTAAGAAAACACAGATGAGTTTAAAGTGCTTTGCTGCTTAATGGAACAATTCAAGTGTCGAAAGGTGCAAATATGTATAAGTAATTTAACCATCATTTATTCGAAAAACTCAGTAGCATTTGTGATCTTCCTTATAAATAATACATAACGATACAGATTTAAAATGACAAAAGCTGCCACATGAGGCAAGACCTTCTGAAGAGCAACGGCAAAACAAAGATTGAAATTAGAGACGAGACACATTTTCAATTAAAAACAGTCACAGCTGACTCGTAATTAAAAACACAAGACTACTCTCCATAGTAAAACCTCACTGATATCCAATTTACTCATTCTATTCTACGTTTCTGCCTCACAGTCATTCAAACACTGACTTCACTGTTTACTGTGTTTATCTTTTACAACACACTGATGCATGTCTCATTTTTAAGATTATAAACGGCAAGGCACCCCCACCACTCTGCACTTTTATACAGCAGAACAATTCAAACAGCAGAACCACAAGGTCTGCCCTAAGAGGGGACTGTGCAGTCCCTCTTAGGTCCAGTTCCTTTGGTAAACTGTTTCTCTGTGAGGGCATCAACACCTTGGAACACAACACCAATACAGATAAGGAATAACACCTCCTATCATACATGTAACCACTATCTTAAGAACTGGCTATTAAGCAATCAAAAATGTGAACACTTTTAACTGTATCATACTATGATAGTATTTCATGTTTGCATGTTTGTCTGTTCCTATTTATTGTTGTACTGTTGTCTGTTACTGTGTGTTTTTTTTTTTTTCTCTAGTCTTGTTGTGGATATTTTAACATCTTTCCAAAAGGACAACAGTTGAAAATTAGCCTGCTGGCTAACACGTTTACAGCAATGTTGATCAATGTGCACTGTCCTTTAAACAGGGTATATGCAGGAATCCTGAAGTCGAATGTAATACCATTTAAAGGTCTCATGTCATGGCCATTTCTACTGATCATATTTCCATTGTTGAGGTATACTAGAATAGATTTAAATTGTGCAATTTTCCAAACTCACATTGGTTTCTCAAACAGCATCTCTGTAAACTACGTGTATTCACTCTCTGTCCTAAACGGCTTGTTGGAGCTCCTGCCAATTTGGGCCAATCTGGTCATTTGTTGATTTGGGTATTCACACGTCACTGAACCCAGGAAGCAAACAATGGAAAAAGAGAAATCTCCAACGAGGCGTTCTGGGGCAGCATACTGTAGACAGGTCTTTTCTGTGTTAGAGTTTTACTCGCTACAGGGTGTACTTTGAGGGTTTGTGACTCTGCAGACCGTTTACATGCAGAAAAACCTTCATAACACAAGGGGACGGGTAATAACCAGAAAAGCATGACATGGGACCCTTAAGACCTTTTTTAAGACCCTTGCCATACATCTTAAGACCTCATCGCCACTTGGAGTTTTAACCGGTTACCTTGACAACACACTTTACCTCACATTGACTATATACAGTATTGATTGTCCTTCCTCCTTATCTTCCAACCATTTGGACGCAGACTTGCATTTCCCCATAACGATGTTGTTTAACAACCGGCGTAAACGGACCTTCGCGCGCTATCAAGCAGTGAGCGTGCGATGTCCTGTTCAGATGACGTCAAATCCAACGGGATGCCATAAATAAACTACACAGAATCACACTACACACCTACGCAATGATTACATTCAGGCAGACTGTAGAATACAACCTCTTTGGACCATTTATATACTTATTGAAAACAAGCTGCAAAATGTAATACCTTGGAAAATGCCGTTTAATACTTTTTAATAGCCTTAATTTTCGCTAAATTGATTTATCAACTTGTAATACTTTTTAAGACCCCGCGGACACCCTGTTTAAATAAATAAACAAACAAACAAACTGAATCTGTGATTTCAAGTAGAACATCTTTGGTAGCTTCAAGGAATAGATTCATGTTTTGGGAAATATGCTTTAGAGCTGCAACGGTCATTTTTCCTCTTACTCTTTACACTTTTACTTTTGTACGAATTAAACAAACAACGTGTTAATAAGTTTGATTTCGAGGCGCAGAGAGAAGGATTTTCTTACCTTTGAGCAGTTGGTCTCTCTTCTAACTCCTAGCATTGAAGCATACACGCATGTTTCCCAAAATGTAAAACTACTCCATGCACCCGTGGGCATTACTAGCATTTTTGGTGTTTAAACAAGACATTTTTGGGGGGAAATATATGTTATTTCTTAGTTTCCACTTGAGGCATTGCTGCTGTAATATAATGCATTGCAGTGTTTGATGCCCTAAAATCAATATTGTTGCTAATCATCGACCTAACCAAGAGAGTGGAAAAGAATCAAAAGAAACTAGCATTTAGGATACAGAATATTAGTCATGTTTTGTTGTTTTTTCCCCATTAAAAAGTAGTGGCCTTTGTTAACAAACGGGCATTAAAAGGGCAAACAACTCCAAAATAAAAGGAATATTTGGTCATTTTGTTCGGATCAGGGGAGTACAGGTTCAAACCCCACTGCAGTCAGCATGTCGTTGTGTCCCTGGGCAAGACACTGCGCCCCACATTGCTCCTGTGGGGATTGTCCACAGTATTGAGTATGTAACGCAGCGTCCACACGGCAGCGTGCGTTGAAGCTTGTCAACAGGCGTGTCTGAAGCTCGACCAACAACCAATCACATGAATCTCCCGCCCCGGCCACACAAGCACGCGGTTTGAATGGCTAGAGCTTGTACTGGCATATGATTTGATTGGCTGACGTCGAAGCTTGAAAAGTTGAACTTTTGAAGCGAGCAAAGCGAAGCGACGGAACCACAATGCAGTTCGGCAAAGCGTGACGTCACCCCATTCAAAGTGAATGGGAAGAAGCGTTGAAGCTGCCGTGTGGACGGGCCGTAAGTCGCTTTGGATAAAAGCGTCTAACAAGTAACATGTAATGTAATGAGTAATACAGAACGTGAGATGCTGGAGGTGCAAACATGTCACAACATTCAAATGATAAATAACTAAAACTCACAGTAAATTCCCTGAGGTATAAGTATAAGTATAAAGTGCAGCTACTTGTCCCCACAGTAGTGGCCTCAGTTCTTCGGAGGCAACTGACTCGGGTCCTCTGCAAAGGGAAGAGCTGAAAAAAACACAGGTGTAAATAATAATAAAGTTAATGTATTATTTGATTTTCTGAGTTTGTTTTAAACCACATACAATACTTATTATTAGTTTTCCAGACAACAGACAAGCGTCACATACAAATCACATCACGCAAAAGAAGTGAAATAAACTTAAAGGGTTAAAAAGACTAATTTTTACAAATGTTATTACATTTCTGGACACCAAAACCTGATTTTAATTTAATACAGACCATTGTAGCCACATCTCTTTTACATTTACCATCATACAACTCAATTTACGCTTTATTTCCTTACATTTTGTTAACGTTACTGGCTCCTTCAATACTTTTATATTTTCATTTAAGCTTTGAAACACTGAAACTAGTTTTTTAACATGGTTTATTTAATTATTTTTTAATAACGTATGTGTGCATTTTTATTCCATATGCAAGTCTACTCTTTGTCCCTTTGCCTATATCTGCAACATGTCCCTAAACACTGTAACGTCCCCGCTGCAGGACAGTTAAAGGGTTTCTGATTCGTCCAGATATTCATAGGAACACAGAACTAACTGAGCCCTGTCTGTTTCAAGAGGCCTTTCTCTGAATACAGAAAGGACTTTGCTGACAAAGTGACAAACTGTGGTCATTCTCTAATGGTTTTCACTTTGCATAAGTGGGCTATTAGTCCGACTGCAGTGAGAAGATTTGTGTTCGGGACTCTAATTACATTGCATTGGCACTTTGAGGGACTGAAAGACTTTCATTTAAACAGATTGGGCTCTAAAGGGGCCTACACACCAAACTGACACCAAAGAACACGTCCCGACAGAACCCGACTGCTGTGTCGCCTCACGTCTCCTGCGTCTTGGCCAACAGTCGCACTGGAACACACCGCAAAGACTTCAGCCGACGGCCAAGTAGCACGTACGAACTGCGCATGCGTGAGTGGCAATAACTCTCCTTACCAGCAGGCGGCGGTAGTGTGTATTCGTCATTCAAAAGAGGCAACAACCGGAAGACAGACTGCGTGATACACCGAGAGAAGAAGAACAGACTGCGTGATATAAACAAACAACAAATAGCGTGTGCGTTCCATTTTCACTCTACAACGAGAAGCTCATGGGGCTTTCCCGAACCTGTGTCGAGAGCTGGAGTTAAATGAAATCTCAGATTTGCCTTCTTAATAGTTTGTTTGGGTCCCTCACTTCCGTTTCGCTTCCCATGCACTGGTTCGCTAAGCTGAACAGCCAATCAGAGAGATTTCTTTGGCCGACAGCCTTTAGCCAACAGCCTACTGATTCAACATACCACACACCAATCTGAGTAGGGCGACACGACGCTCATCAACGGCCCGACATATATCGACATCTATCGACGGTCGAAATCGGCTTGGTGTGTAAGGACCTTAAGGGGCAGCAGTAACATCACTAAAATACTCACTTTTTAGGATAATATGGTGAACATGTACACATCCAGCAGGTACAGAGCAACATTAGCATTACATCAGAGTCACATTTCGGTGCACTTGCAGAATGTAAGTCTAATTTTCACGTCTTTTTTTAGTCTCTACTTTGCCCTACCTGACTCCTGAGGAAAATATCAGGCTTTTTACCAGAAAAATAGTTTCCCAATGTTCAGCAGCTAGTAAACATCTTTGTCTTTCTGCTGTTCGGTGCAAAACAGGGAGCTTACAGTTCAATTTTAACCCGAACAGTTTGAAGCTTTTACATGTCTGGTGGTGAAGTTGGTTTATTTTTAAGTAATATTTTTAGTTAGAAATTATGATTTTAAAATGTGGGTAGATTATCTTGTGGAATCATTAAAAAATGATGCCACAGAGCTTTGTTTTTTTAACAATAATCTAAAAGTAATACATTTTCACTTTGTTGAGGAAAACCAGGGTTATGAGAACTTCCTGGGTTGGGAAACAGAAATACGTCAACACTGCTGAACACTATAACAACCTATAATATGAATGGAAAACTCAATCAGCTTGTGCAATACCAATTATGTGCAATATATATATATATATATATATGCCGTTAATAACTGTGCAATATATACCTGGCTGCTATATCTCAGAATTGTTACAGGATGTGTATTTTGTAAATTGTGTAATTTTTCTTTTGTTTCTTTAAAGTGGACCTATCATGCTATATTTGAATAATATAGTGTAGGACCATACCTATATAAGGCATATTTATACATTTTTTTTTTCAAAATACCAAACAGATCATGCATTTTAGCCATGCCTCATTTTGCTCAATTTGACATTTTTTAGCTCTGTTTTAGCAAGGGCAGATTCTGTGAGAACAGCACCACCTACAGGCCTGGCATATGTACTACAGCGTCTCCAGCGCTTTCGAACGGCAATGGCCGTGGCTGTCTCCTCCTGATTGGTGGAGTTGGCCCAATAGCCGTAGCGCCACCGTCCTGACGTCAGGACAGTGTTCAAATCTGGATCAGTTTTTATCAGATCCGTTGCAGGCCCTTTTTTAGAGATTTGGGTATGGAGGAAAATAGAGAGGGTTGTGTTTTCTGACACTTGGTGAGTTCCCTGGAACACCGGGGACACATATTCATGTATAAAAGACGTACAAAAGTGCATTTTGCATGATAGGTCCCCTTTAATATGTTTTAAGCTTCTTGGTTAACATTAAGCTGTCTTTGGCTCTTTTCTTGCTGTAACAAATGCAAATGTCCCCTCTGTGGGACGAATAAAGGTATTCTGATTCTGTTTCACTCACGGTTCTGAAAATGCTGCGCTGTATATCTGGTGAGGAGGATCCCAAATCCTTCAATGAGGGCGAGCAGAATCCCCCCCATCATGGCCGAGCCCACCATGGTCAACGGCCCACCTGCAGACAAACACATTCAACAACATGAGGTGTACAATAATAATGAGTCCATCACCTTGATTCATCAGCAGCCAAACACGTAATGCCCCCAGACCAGAAAGATCTCGTATGTTTTATACATGTAAAACACACACGAACATATACACTTCAAACAGGATACGTGGCAGAGATGTTCTAACCTTATACAGTCATATATGTTGCATCCTCTGTCTCCTCTGAGTTTTACATGATCCCAGATTTCATGACCGTATTTAGCAGCTACCACACATGCTAATGTGTACGACTGCTGGTGAAGACTTCAGCTGATTGCCTATGGGCCCTTTTCCTATAAACTAAATGAATAACACATTGTTTATTATAGATTATCTTAAAGGTCCCATGTCATGCTTTTCCGGTTATTACCCGTCCCCTTGTGTGTTATGTAGCTTTTTCTTCATGTAAACGGTCTGCAAAGTCACAAACCCTCAAAGTACACCCTGTAGCGAGTAAAACTCTAACACAGAAAAGACCTGTCTACAGTATGCTGCCCCAGAACGCCTCGTTGGAGATTTCTCTTTTTCCATTTATTTCTTCCTGGTACCAAGTGACGTAACGACGACCAAATGGACCAATCCGCGGAGTTCCGCACACTCACTCACTCAGCCTTATCTTTTCTCAGCCGCGGCTCTGCGGATCTCTCGAATCTGAGTTCTGCGGTGTCTCGCTGTGTCGCAGACCCCACGCAGCAACCAGGAAACAACACCAGTAATCCAGCTCACACTGGCCGCTCCTCGAGCCTCAAAGGGCGGAGCAGCGAGCCGCGCAACGTCCCGCCAACACGGCACCCAGACCCCACTCAGCATTCTCATCTGTTTGTCATTACTGGTGTCATTTTCTGGTTGCTAACAAACACCATTGTAACACATAATCACTGATGTTCATCTGTAACGGTGGTGGACTCATCAGAACAGAGTGGGCGAGCCGACCAATCAGAGCACAGTGGGCTCATAGGGAGGAGGGGCAGGAGATCCAACAAGCCGTGTAGGACAGAGAGTGAATACACATACTTTACAGAGATGCTATATGAGAAACCAATGTGAGTTTGGAACATTGAACAATGTAAATCTATTCTAGTAGACCTCAACAATGGAATTATGATCAGTAGAAATGGCCATGTCATGGGACCTTTAACATGTTGATGTGGTCAGATAATTTAGCTTTCTCTGAACTCCCTCTTACTGCGAGCGGCCAGGATGGCTCCGGTCAGCGCGCCGCTGGTTATCGAGTTCCACGGATCCTCTTTCCCTCTCAGACGAACCAAACCACAGTCGATGGTGGAGAAGAGACCGCCCCATACAGCAAAGCTACCTGAAAAACAACCAAAAAACACATGGCTCAATGTATGTTTTTAGTTTTAGGACACAATATCAAACCTGGTCTGTAGCATCCTAATATAACCAACTCTTTTCACAGGTCTTCATTTAATACGCACGCATGCACCTGTAATTTAACTTCTATTGTAGTAATGTGAGCTTTTTTTGTGTTTTTGTCTGGTTTAAAGTTTTCGACCCTGCCTGGTTCGTTTGTTAATGATTTCTACATTACGTTTGTACTGTGTTGAGGGATATTTTTTTTAACCTAAATAATCTTTTAGTCTGGTTTTGTTTCATCATTTTCTAGAAGGTTAAAGGTCTTTGTTATTTTTGCTCAAATATGTTTAAAACGGAGATGATATACAGTATTTTTGACACACAGGAACGTCAACCTCAGTCGAGCTGACATAGCGTATTAAGTCTAGTTTCTTACAGTTATTTAAATCAGGAGCTGTTCAATTTCAAAAAAGAGAAAAAATTGTCCGTACTAGGATTTCATAGAATATTGAATAAACAAGACAATAGACCTTAACTTATATTAAAGGTAAGAAACTCTTTAACGCTAAGATGTTTGCTTCAAGTTTATTAAAACTCCAAGAGCTACAGTTATAGAAGATATTCATAAAAAAAAACTTCCTCACCTCCAATCTGCGGAGCTCTGACTCTCACTGCGTTTGCACTTCCTCTCAGTCTGTGTCCGACACCCTGAAATATTAAAGCTATGTTTAATACCGCCTTTAAAACAACACAATGAGGCTCATCATAATTGTTATTATGTTGTGGTGTACTCACAGCGGGGGCATTACGAAAGCCCTTGATGGCCTGGAACACCCCTCCTCCAATAGTGCCCATAGTGAAAGCCCCCCCACAGTCATCCACTACCCTCCAGGGACTGCATTAAGGAAGAGGGGGAGACAATGGAAGATACGATGAAGTATGTTATCGGATCAGCTGGAAAATGCATCATCACAAAGCTGGAAAAAGGGCTGTCTTTCTGAGAAACTCTTCAAATATAGCGATACGTGGTTCTCACATGACGGCGACAAAGCTACAGAACATATGAATCTTAAAACATACTAATAATGTAATATAACACTGTGCAATATATACATTTAAGGGTCATTCCAGAATTGGAGGACAATTTAGACACCAACATTTTTGAAAAATGAACCTTTTATTTTATAATTTTTTTTAATGTATTTAGGAAAAACAGATAATAAACCATCAATAAAAGTGACTTGCCCAGCTACATGTAAGGCATCAAATGTATATTTTCCAATGAAGAATTAACCCTGTTACTCTAATTATAGTAACAGGGTTGAACATCAATGCTAATGTTAGCTTTAACCTCAGGAATTATTGCTAGATGTAGCATGTAATGCTACTTTCAAGGCAAGGACAAACTTGGATATTTAATGAAAGAAAGATAACTTTGAAATGAATATGCTTTATTCTGATAATATGAGTAACAGGGTTGAGTGGGTGAGAGTGCCACACTCTTTTAAGACTGAAAAGATTGTAAAAATATGAAAAATAAAAGAGAGGACTTAGTTTTGGGATGTTTCTCAATGTTGAGGAAGACTGCTCCAGAGCCACTATTTCAAGCATACTACGTCATCGAGTGCCGCCGAAGGACTGTTCCAATGTCCAGCATACTTGGAATTCTACTGAGGTCAGCGTACTTTCGAGGCTGCACATGTGTAGACTCCGCAGTCTTAAAATCCCCACAATGCTTTGCGCACGGACCAATTTCCAAATCTTTGGCGGAAATCGCACTCCATTTAAGGCCTCGCATATGACGCACACCTGTTAGCCTGTTCCACAAGTGTGCAGGTGTGCGTCATATGAGAGGCCCCGCCTTACATTTTCCGCCACAGATTTGGGGAAATTGGTCCGTGCGCAAAGCATTGTGGGGATTTTAAGACCGCGGAGTCTACACATGTGCAGCCTCGAAATTTCTCCAAACGAAGGACGCCGGGCTCGGTAGAATTCCAAGTATGCTGGACATTGGAACAGTGGGTGTTTCTCAATGTCGAGTACGCTTGCTTGGTAGCACATGTCTTCCGAGCATCTTGCTTCAGAAGCGAGGCAAGAATACTTCCTAGCCTCGGAAAACGAAGAATGGAACAGGCTAGCAAGTGTGCAGGTGTGCGTCATATGAGAGGCCCCGCCTTACATTTTCCGCCACAGATTTGGGGAAATTGGTCCGTGCGCAAAGCATTGTGGGGATTTTAAGACCGCGGAGTCTACACATGTGCAGCCTCGAAATTTCTCCAAACGAAGTATGCCGTAAGTAGTTTTTTCACTTTCTCTGCCAATCTAAAAAGGTTTGGGTAACAGGGTTGAACGCATGTTGAGGGACACACCTTATGTGCAAGATTACTGTTATTTAAAATATGTTATAATTTAACAAATATATTTTACCATTACAAGAGACATATATCAATAGAATAATACCAAAAAAAGTAAATAAAATCCCTATTTTAAATGTTATATTTGACATGCAAGTTGGTCACCACCAAGAAGCGGGGACAAGAGAAAGGGGCCATTTTAGGGGGGGTTCGAGAGCTATTTGATAATTTAAATAATATTTTGAAACCACTTTTTCTACAACTTTATATACATTTTGTCTCAAGACAAGTATGTTTAACACAACAAGTGCATGTTTTAGCTTTTTGGGCATGGAGTATTAGATTTTTGTTATATATTCTGGAATGACCCTTAAAACTAGTAATTATAGTATTTACTATATGTACAGCAAAAGGTGCATAGCAGGTAAAAGCAATGAGTAGCAGAAAGTGACATAAATAACATATTACATTATTGAGACCTTGTAAAAAACTATTGTTGTATTTATAAAACAGGAAGCTGTACCTGAGTAAATAAAGATATATATTTTATCTTTACTTGAGTCCTACTCTCTGGTACTTTTAATGAAGTACAAGATCAAAATGTAGCTTCAGTTTCTCTGTTTAACTGCCCACAGCTTTATCTATTTATACCTATGATTTATACCCATTAGCCTCCACTAAGCTAACATGCTAACACGCAGAGAGCCTCTAACAACATCTATACCATGAATACAAGAAGACCAAACATTATCCGAGGTTAAAACATTTAAATTAACATCGAAAACGACATGTTTTAAAAAAAATAAAACTAATCTCACCAGGGTTCACGAGCATACTCCTCCATCTTTGTTGTCGTCAGGGAAACAACGGTACTACGTCATCACTGCGCGCGCGCTGTTTGCTGTTGTGGGAAGTCTCCTCGAGATCACAGAGGCGATTTTATACGAAATAAAAGGTAATGTTTGTCTTATTTCATTACTTTAACTCACAGTATACGTGTAGGTGTTTAGTGGTAGTGTATGTATAGGGGTATATACGAAAACAACAGGTGTGTGTGTTGGTTTAATCTCCCAGTTTCTTCCTCACCAAGCGGGGCGCTTTTAAATGGAGAATGCATCCTTAATTTATAAATAAGACTTTGACCAAACCTGATAAGCTAAAAGAGACACAAGCTAACATGTTAGATGGGGGCTCACAGAGGTACGAAAGCATGCAGAAGAGACCAGAACCAGAACCTTGCTGTATTTCTGTTGTTATAGACAGTGGCGTGTGCACACCTTTTTCACTGGGAGGACCCAAGTGTGGCACTGACATCTTATTAGTATTTATCTTAGTATTTATTAATTCTTTCTGACATGTATATAGTTGACTTCATCTGCATTTCTTGCACATTGGTCTCGCACTATTTTGGGCTTCCACTCATGCTGCACCTATAAGCCTTATCACATACATAAACAAAGGGTTAATCAACTACAGGGAACAAGAAACATGAAAGAACATATTAATACAAATAAAGCTCTGTTGGCTTCATTATTTGGGGTATTTCGCTCTGATGCACCCCTCTCATCTTCCTCCTCATCTCTTCTTCAGATGCCTCTTCCTGCAGCGCTGCTCGCCCGCCTGGCAAAGAGAGGGATCGTCAAACCTTCAGACCAAGGTAAAACATTTGAAAAAACCCTTTGGGAGTATTAGCATTCATATATATTTTTTATTTTTCAACAACTTTTCTTCTCCATTTCCTCCAGAGGGAGATGAGGAGATTATTGCTGAAGATTACGACGACAACAACGTAGATTATGAATCCACCAGAGTGGAGAATCTGCCAACAAACTGGTATAAAGTGTTCGACCCTGCCTGGTACGTTTGTTAATGATTTTGACAATTTCCTACTGTTCATTAAAAAAGCATTTACATACCTCGACATCTTTATGGCTGGTATTCTTTAAAGGTCCCCTATTATGCAACATCCACTTGTTCATGTCTTTTCTACATCACCATGTGTCCCCTCTTCTTCATGTCTCTTCTACATCAACATGTGTCCCCTCTTCTTCATGTCTCTTCTACATCAACATGTGTCCCCTCTTCTTCATGTCTCTTCTACATCACCATGTGTCCCCTCTTGTTCATGTCTCTTCTACATCAACATGTGTCCCCTCTTCTTCATGTCTCTTCTACATCACCATGTGTCCCCTCTTCTTCATGTCTCTTCTACATCAACATGTGTCCCCTCTTCTTCATGTCTCTTCTACATCAACATGTGTCCCCTCTTCTTCATGTCTCTTCTACATCAACATGTGTCCCCTCTTCTTCATGTCTCTTCTACATCAACATGTGTCCCCTCTTCTTCATGTCTCTTCTACATCACCATGTGTCCCCTCTTCTTCATGTCTCTTCTACATCAACATGTGTCCCCTCTTCTTCATGTCTCTTCTACATCAACATGTGTCCCCTCTTCTTCATGTCTCTTCTACATCAACATGTGTCCCCTCTTCTTCATGTCTCTTCTACATCAACATGTGTCCCCTCTTCTTCATGTCTCTTCTACATCAACATGTGTCCCCTCTTCTTCATGTCTCTTCTACATCAACATGTGTCCCCTCTTCTTCATGTCTCTTCTACATCAACATGTGTCCCCTCTTCTTCATGTCTCTTCTACATCAACATGTGTCCCCTCTTCTTCATGTCTCTTCTACATCAACATGTGTCCCCTCTGTGTAAAGAGACTCTGAAAGTTTCAGGAACAAAGATTCTCTCTCTTTTTGTCCTGATCCATTTCTATATAAACCTGTCTGAAAATGAGCTGATCAGATTTCGGCCACTTTGTGATGTCATAACGATGTTTTGGCTTGTGTAACCATTAGCCAATCACCAACCAAGGTAACCCCCCCCCCCCCCCACCTTATCACCTGAATCTCCTCCTAGAGCACCAGTAGGCGCTTTCACACCGGAGTACTTTTCCCGTTTAGTTCCGATAGTTCCTGAGATTTTGCGTTCACACCAAAAAGAGAACTTAGTTCATGAGAACTTTTACCCCCTTTTTAGTCCCTGCTAGAGAGGTGGTACTTTCCTGGGGAGAAAAAAGTACCAATTTCTGATTGGCTGGGCGAATTGCAAACCACGCCCCGTAAAACTCTGAAAGGTTTTTTGAAGCCGCCATTGTATTTGCTGGCATTAGCATTATTAGCATTAGCATTAGTCCCACGCACCAACGGAGAGAGAATAACTTATGGCAACACAAAAAAAAACATGGGAGCGGTGGAGATGAGGAGGTGTCGGCGTTCTGACGATTTACTCGGAAGGCTTCAGTTGAAGCTGCTGGGAGTCCCAGCAGCTTCAACTGAAGCCAGTCCCCAACTCCGGGGACTTCCTGCCGGGGACTTGGTACTTGGTGTGAAAGCGGCTATTGTGTTATTTTTAACCAAATATCTCTCAGAGGGGCGTGGGGAGTGGCTCCTTATTTTCATCTAAAGTAACAGACAGAGAATCAGCACTTTGGAAACAGGGCTGAAACAGAGGGGATTATGGGATGTTGCAATGATCTGTTTGGTGTTTCAGCCAATCAGAGACAGGTTCTGTATATATCTGAGACCTATAATATATTGATGAAAAACAGTATAATAGGGGACCTTTAAACATTTTCTAGAGGGTTTAATCTCCCTTTCTTTTTGCTCAAATGTATTTTTAATCGGAAAATAAATTAAATTAATAATATTACTAAATTAAATGATAAACCCTGATTTCAAAAGAAGCTATCTGCAAATTGACTCATTTGATTTGTTTTTTTCTTTACTCCACAGTGGTCTTCCTTATTACTGGAACGCAGAGACCGATCTGGTGGCCTGGCTGTCTCCAAATGACCCAAATACATTGGTGACAAAAGCTGCCAAGAAAATAAGAGGTAAGGCATTTCAAATCCTTCAAACTATATAAAATAACCAAACGCCTGATACATTTTACAGCACAATCAATAGTTTACTTTTCATCCTTTAAGTGCATTTTGTTTACTGCATAAGTAAGTGTGATTTTGAATGCAGGATTTTGATATAATATTAGTACTTCTTCCACCACTGGTTGTAAGTAGTAAAAGTAGCATTACTGCATTTTAAAAGTACTTTGTTACAAGTTAAAGTCCTGCATTCAAACTCTTAAGTAAAAATACAAAAGTATCTGCTTCAAAATATACTTAAAGTACCAGTCAGTCAGAGTTGGGGGTGCGGGGGGGGGGGGTGCTAGTAGCGTCTCTCAGCGGCAAAACTGTGATGCGCTGGGGGGCTAGTGGAGCCTCGCAGCGGAGACACTGTGACGCGCTGGGGGGCTAGTGGAGCCTCGCAGCGGAGAAACTGTGACGCGCTGGGGGGCTAGTGGAGCCTCGCAGCGGAGAAACTGTGACGCGCTGGGGGGCTAGTGGAGCCTCGCAGCAGAGAAACTGTGACGTGCTGGGGGGCGGTGCTAGTGGAGCCTCGCAGCAGAGAAACTGTGACGTGCTGGGGGGCTAGTGGAGCCTCGCAGCGGAGAAACTGTGACGTGCTGGGGGGCTAGTGGAGCCTCGCAGCGGATAAACTGTGGCGCGCTAGGGGGGCTAGTGGAGCCTCGCAGCGGAGACACTGTGGCACACGTACACTGTAGGTGCACCGCGTTTGGGGGTGCGGGTGCTAGTGGAGCCTCGCAGATGGGGGTGCTGCAGCCCCCTCAGCACCCCCCCTTCCCGCGTCCATGTAAAGTACCAAAAGTAAAAGTACTCTTTATGCGTAATGGCCCATTTCAGAGTCATTTATATATTGATTTCCCGGGTTACTTTTAGGATCTTGAAGCTAATTTTAATAACTTTATATACTGCTGCTGGATATCTTGACCTATACATATATGCCAAAGTCTATTTAATAAATGATTTATATTTTGTATAAGCTAATAACATTATTAACATCCTTACTATCATTGATCACTTTTGGCAAATAATCCCAGAGTGCATTTTGTTTTCGGTTTGTTTTCTGACGTTTGCCTTTATTGTGTTTTTGTGGTTCAGCCGAGGTGGTGGAGGAGAGAGTGGAGAGGCCGTTCGAGAAGATAGAGAGAGAGCGGGAGAGAGAGAAGGAGCGGGAGAGGGAACGAGAGAGAGACAGAGACCGAGAGAGGGAGGAGGTGAGGGAGAGAGACCGGAGGAAGCCCAGGAGGGAGGAAATAGCTCCGTACAGCAAGAGCAAAAGAGGTAAAGCTTACATCTTTATCATAAAACACAAACATTTTCAAAGTGATGTTTCTTACATACATGGATCTAACATACTCACTGTCCTTCAGGGAGAAAAGAAGATGAGATGGACCCCATGGATCCCAGTGCTTACTCTGATGCCCCGAGGTACAGTATATTTACAACAAGCTCTTGTCTAAAGAGCACTCCACAAAATGACTATGCCACTTCCATGTAATTGGTAGAGACAGATGGCACACCATAAACGCATTAGAAGCTGAAATATTGTGACTTTCAGGCTCGAAAAACTCTACTCTTCCCACAGTGCGATTTAATACGTCTTTCCATTAAACCCTTCCTGCCTGGGAAACGTCATCTTGATTCAAACTCTACTTCGACACGCTTTTGGTTATAAATAGTCTCCAGGGCCAAAATGAATTATTTTGACCAAGCTTCTCCAGAGTCTAAGAAAAAGTATGAAGCAAGTCCAGCTAACAGATTTTCGATATGTAAAACTGGTATAATTTAAAAGGGATCATTTGAAGTTTGGTCATATGAGGTCATACTACATGACATGTCACTTGTTAGACGCTTTTATCCAAAGCGACTTACATACTCAATACTGTGGGCAATCCCCACAGGAGCAATTTGGGGTGAAGTGTCTCAGGGACACAACGACATGCTGACTGCAGTGGGGTTTGAACCTGTGCTCCCCTAATCCGAACACCAACGCTCTACCCACTGCGCCACATGCCTCCCTACTAAGTGTATGGGTTACTGTAGATGGAGTTTATAGAAAAAGACAGGAGTACCTGCAGGAAGCTAACAATGCACTGCTGTGGACGTATTTAAGACTCCTTCAAAACATTCAAAGTGTACACTAAATGTAGAATATTTTCACAGCTTTACCTTGCCGTCAGAAAGCCCCTTTGACGGGAACTGAAGCTCTCTTTAAAGCTGGCTGTGTAATTTTAGCGTGCAGAACACAGGAGTTGTTGTTCCATTTAAAACTCCAAAGTCGCACAATAACACATACTAACATACTAATAAAGGCATCGGTAGAAAAAGAAACTCCTGTGTTCTGCGATGTAAAATTCCAGTTTTTGTCAATGGAGTCTTGTGGTTTTTGAAGAGAGCATAGATACTGGCAAAGGAAATATTCTAAATACTTAACATTTGAGTGGATATGAACTTTTTAGCTTCCACAAACTGCATCTACTGTAGCTACATTTCCCCTCTGTGTGTGTTAAAGGTCCCCTATTGTGCAAAATCCTCTTCTTCATGTCTCTTCTACATCAACATGTGTCCCCTCTTCTTCATGTCTCTTCTACATCAACATGTGTCCCCTCTTCTTCATGTCTCTTCTACATCAACATGTGTCCCCTCTTCTTCATGTCTCTTCTACATCAACATGTGTCCCCTCTTCTTCATGTCTCTTCTTCATCAACATGTGTCCCCTCTTCTTCATCTCTCTTCTTCATCAACATGTGTCCCCTCTGTGGAAAGAGACTCTGAAAGTTTCAGGAACAAAGATTCTCTCTCTTTTTGTCCTGATCCATTTATATAAAAACCTGTCTGAAAATGAGCTGATCAGATTTTGGCCACTTTATGTCATAACGATGTTTTGTCTTGTATAACCATTAGCCAATCAGCAACCAAGGTAACCCCCCCCCCCCCACCTTATCACCTGAATCTTCTCCTAGAGCACCATTGTGTTCTTTGTAACCAAATATCTCTCAGAGGGGCGTGGGGAGGGGCTCCTTATTTTCATCTAAAGTAACAGACAGAGAATCAGCACTTTTGAAACAGAGGGGATTATGGGATGCTGCAATGATCTGTTTGGTGTTTCAGCCAATCAGAGACAGGCTCTGTATATATCTGAGACCTATAATATATTGATGAGAAACAGTATAATAGGGGACCTTTCATTTAAACAAGCATTTTTCTCTACAGGGGCAATTGGTCGACTGGCTTGCCGAAGCGTAATGAGGCGAAGACGGGGGCCGACACCACGGCGGCGGGGCCTCTGTTCCAGCAGCGGCCGTACCCGAGTCCAGGGGCCGTGCTACGAGCTAACGCAGCTAACCAAATCCCCAAAGAGTAACCAGAGAAACAACTCACAGATCTACGGTGTACAGTTTGTCTTCCTTTGGCCGTTACAGACTGACGGTTATTTAGTTTTCATTCTTAAACCTGTGTCTGGAGTTAAAGTGCATTGACGCTCGTATTAGAACAGTTGTAAATATGTGTTTTATATGACCTGTGATTGACAGTGCCCCTTCATTTGCTAATAAACATTACTGTGACTTTTATTTTGGACTGTTGGTGATACATCTTGTAATAACTTCTGTACAAATAAAGTTCTTGACACTGTTTTATTACAAAATTGCTTTAAAATTCACGATTTTTTTTAAGTAACAACATTTAGAGGTGTGACGATGGGGGGGATATTTGAGTCAGTGGTCCGTCTCCCCTACGTACTGACAGATGATGTCATAATCCAGCATGAACACTTTCTCCTCGTGTCGGTCGAGCTGCACCATCGCGCGGCACTTGTTCTTGTCCCGCTGGAGGATACGGCCCACCTGGAAAAACAAAAACACACACAGTGATTAGTAACAATACACACACACACTGCAGGAGAGAGGGTCCACTGCTCACCTGTCCTCTGTGCTCGCCCAGGACAACCATTATAGACTCGGACTCGAGTTTGGGGATGATGGTTTCCAGCATGCCCTGCTTCACATCTGCAACCAAAAGAATTAACAGGTTTGTTAGAAAAATATCACTGGTCACCGGCTTGAGCTTCAATCTCAGGATCCATGTATTTCTGATCCTCTCAGGAATGGAAGTAGTCATCCCATACAGAGCATATGGTCCAACTAGTTCACATGCTGATATGCAAGAGAGGGAATTACACAGTCACAAGATGGAGGAATAGAAAGCAGTATTCAATGTTTACTTCAGATTAGCTCCACGTCAGAAATGATCATGCTTGTCATATGTCTATCTCCATAGAGGCTGAATCATCATGTTAATCACATAGCTATCATATGCCTAAAACAGTCCTGACGCTCTTCTAGGTAATCATACATCCTGTCATGTACACAGCTACATTTGGGATACCTTTGTTATCATGTGGACTCTCATATTGGAAGAGTACATTCACTATTTTCCCAACAAGGTTATTCACAACTTTATTTAACAAGGTTACTTCTTCATTTACAAGTAAGAAAGATTATGAGCCGTATGAGCACAACTGTTGCCAATAAGGAACTGATCATAGGAACACTTAACATGTTTTTCGTTGTTGTTTTACTACTTTGGATAGTAAACAAACACATTTGGGTAAAAAATGCCAAACTTTTTACATAAACAGCGGGTTATTTAAGTATCTAGATCCTTTATCAATGGTTATAACAAAAGCATAAAATAATTGTCACTGATGTGGAAAAGCACAATCATAGTGAACGAGGAATTGATCCAGCATTGGCAATGTTTACACGGCAAGCCTTATTGCTTTTATTCCACAGATCAGACTTTTTTTTTGTTTGGATGTTTCACACTATTTTCTAAAACCCGATCGATATTAGATTCCAGTGTGACACGGCCACGGTCCGGGAACTGACCAGCACAAAAAAAAGCAAAGGTTTCTCATGCAGCAGCTCCTTGAGTATTTGTTTGGTTTGATGGTTTCTGCAGCATATGTGAGACATGTTTTATTCTGAATGTAGTCTTTATTAGAAGTATCGCTGACGACTCACCGTCTATCAGCCGCCCCTCGTCAGTTCGACAGATACAGGTTGATGGTGAGAGGACGTCCTCCACACACATCTATAAAGAAAACAGAAACCCTTCATTTGTAATCATTATAATTATTATCATTAATATCATTATATTATATTATTATCATTATATAACACAGCAACTCATTATGTAGTGCAAGATAGGGAAGCAGGGTTCCTGCAGGTTTCACCAACTCAAATTGAAGACTTTTTAAGACCACTTTGAATAGAATTTAAGACCTATATTTCACGGCAAAAAAGTATGAAGGAAAATTGCTATGAAAGAAGAAATATGTCCCATAATTACTTACAAAGTAAATGTATTCATGTTCAACATAAGAACGATGACTGAACAATAACAGTACACAGAAGTATGTGTGTGTGTGTGTGTGTGTGTCAAGAGCTATAGTCAGAGCTCTGCTGTCTTCATGCTGTTGTATGATTGGTGTATAGCTACGGTATTTAGCGCCCACAGCACCTCCGCTTTTAGGGTTGACGTAGACTCAAACGTCGCCCGGAGGTCCCCCGGTGTTGTTGCGGGAGCTGCTGCACTAGCTAACGCTGCACTAGCTAACGCTGCACTAGCTAACGCTGCATTAGCTAACACTGCATTAGCAAAACAAACGCTAATTGTGTTTGCAAAAGGTGCAGCGGGCTTCAAACACGTTCCCCTCCACTGGTTTCAACCAAAAGCACTAAATTCAATGTTTTCCAACCAAATACGGTTGAACTTACACTTCCCCATATTTATTTGTAAGTAGATTCGAAGATACCGGAGTTTAGCTGAAGCTTGGTTGCTAGGTTACTAGCTGGGTGTTCTCCGATAAGGGGCCGTGGGAAACAAAGTTAGTGATTACTGGTTCCATGTTGATTTATTTCAATACAAATTGTTGGGGGGAACTGAAAGGCTCTTACCGTACTGGTTACTTTGCAGCCCGGACATTTCCCCCAAAACACATTTAGACGCGATCGCTACACAGAAGTACCTTTCAAATCCCATCATATTTAAGACCTTTTTATTTTTTTATCATATTTAAGACGTTTTTAAGACCCCACGGGAACCCTGGGGAAGACCCCCTTTTTTTTATAAATAGTATGTTTTTTACTCTATGTGTCAGAAAAATGTAATAAATCAAAGACAATCAGACACAAACATACATCATTCAGTGAAAGGATATAGGTAAAAGGAACTTGGTGAAGGTCTGGACGAGTTAAATGATAAACCTTCTGATGGTAATATGGGTAATGAGTACATGAGCCTAAACAGGTGCAAGATGCTCAGGTGTTATATCAGTACCTTTGAGTTGTAGTATTTGCCCCCTTTGAAGGATTTGTCTATGAAGCGAACCTTCAAATCCCTCTGGAGCCAGGAAGGGGGGGGCGGGGGTCGCCTCGCCTCTTTCACCGGAGGCTTGTCTCTACAGAGAACATCAAACACACGGTTACTCAGAGAACGCTTTATTAGCCGATAGATGGAAATGAGAAACATTGCAGTGAGGTAAAGTGTGTACCTGTCCTGACTGGATTCTCTGTGTTTCCTCTTCCTCTCGTCTTTACTCCGGCTCTCCTTCTCCTCCTGTCTCTGCTGCTCCTTCTCCTTCTCTCGCTCCTTCTCCTTCTCCTTCTCTTTGTGGGCTCTACTGAGGCGAGCTGGTGAGCAGGAGAAAAATGTCAAATGTGGAAAACACTGAAACACAGAAGGCTTCTCAATTCTCTAATTTCCCCTCCTCGACTCCCCTCCTCGACTCCTATCCTCGTGTCTTAGTCCCGCCCACAGGAGATGCTTCCTTCGCGCGCTATCAAGCAGTGAGCGTGCGATGTCCTGTTCAGATGACGTCAAATCCAACGGGATGCCATAAATAAACTACACAGAATCACACTACACACCTACGCAGTGATTACTTTCAGGCAAACTGTAGAATACAACCTCTTTGGACAATTTATATACTTATTGAAAACAAGCTACAAAATGTAATACCTTGGAAAATGCCCTTTAATACTTTTTAATAGCCTTAAAGGTGGGGTAGGTAAGTTTGAGAAACCGGCTCAAGATACACTTGTTATATTCCATGGAATGCTCTTAACATCCCGATAGCAATGAATATCTTAAGTGCTTTGACAAAAAATCCATAAAGAAATATCATCTGTGGAAGCCGTAATACTGTAAAAAGCACGACCAATCATTTTAGCCGGCCCGGCTAAAATAACTGGATGGCCTACCTGCCTGTCAGCCTTCCATCTGTGCACAAACTTATCTCGTGCCCTCATTGGTCATGTGCGCGTTCGTGTGTGTTGGAGGAGGGGCTCTGTAAGGAAGTGGCAGATTTTCTCCGGCTGTGTATTTTCAAATTCTAGCGCACTCGAGCTGGTTTCTCCAAAATGTCCTACCCCACCTTTAATTTTTGCTAAATTGATTTATCAACTTTTAATACTTTTTAAGACCCCACGGACACCCTGTATATACAAGAAATGTTAAAGAAGATATTAATTATATTTAGCCTCACACTAAAGCTATATTATCGTTATAATATACAAGCTGCATTGTAAAAACTGTATCAACAATTTAAAAAAAAAAAAAAAAAAAAAAAACCTAATCAGATTGGAACGGCCATTACGTGTAATTAAAAAAACAGAACTGGTCTTAATTGGATCAAATTAAAATGTTGACCTTTGATGACCTCTAACCAAATTCAGAGAAATGTAATCTAATATCAGCATCAAGACTATTTACCTTAAATGTTTACTTGTTATATTTTGTTTTTAGAGAGTGACTCACTGAGGTCTTTGCAGTTTTTCTCGTATTCTGTACGTCCCACCAGCTTCACAGCGTGCTGGCTGATGGTGGCAGACCGACCCCCGATGGCCAGCTTCACCACCACACGGGCGTTATCGGGGTCCAAGCCTTCAATCTGTAGCGGGAAATAAAGTTACTCAGAGGGAACACTAGGGTCAAAACAAAACATGAAGACTCCGATGCAGGGTGTCAACAAACGGCGCGCCCGAGATTTACTTTTCAAAGTGTAAAAACTACAGAGAAGACATAAACTGCAATTTACTGCAAAAGTACTCACATCCTTTACTCAAGTAGAAGTACAGATACTCGTGTTTAAAAATACTCTGGTAAAAGTAGAAGTACTGACTAAACTTCTTTACTCAAGTAAAAGTTAAGAGGGCTTTGAAATGTACTTCAGTAAAAAGTACCCATAACTAGCAGCTGTTTTAAAGAGTACCTGACCCATGTAAGAAGTAGAAAGTACAGGTATTTGTGTTCAACATGTGAGAAGTAGAAAGTACAGGTATTTGTGTTCAACATGTAAGAAGTAGAAAGTACAGGTATTTCTGTTCAACATGTAAGAAGTAGAAAGTACAGGTATTTGTGTTCAACATGTAAGAAGTAGAAAGTACAGGTATTTGTGTTCAAAATGTAAGAAGTAGAAAGTACAGGTATTTGTGTTCAAAATGTAAGAAGTAGAAAGTACAGGTATTTGTGTTCAACATGTAAGAAGTAGAAAGTACAGGTATTTGTGTTCAACATGTAAGAAGTAGAAAGTACAGGTATTTGTGTTCAACATGTAAGAAGTAGAAAGTACAGGTATTTGTGTTCAAAATGTAAGAAGTAGAAAGTACAGGTATTTGTGTTCAACATGTAAGAAGTAGAAAGTACAGGTATTTGTGTTCAACATGTAAGAAGTAGAAAGTACAGGTATTTGGGTTCAAAATGTAAGAAGTAGAAAGTACAGGTATTTGTGTTCAAAATGTAAGAAGTAGAAAGTACAGGTATTTGGGTTCAACATGTAAGAAGTAGAAAGTACAGGTATTTGGGTTCAACATGTAAGAAGTAGAAAGTACAGGTATTTGGGTTCAAAATGTAAGAAGTAGAAAGTACAGGTATTTGGGTTCAACATGTAAGAAGTAGAAAGTACAGGTATTTGTGTTCAAAATGTAAGAAGTAGAAAGTACAGGTATTTGTGTTCAACATGTAAGAAGTAGAAAGTACAGGTATTTGTGTTCAACATGTAAGAAGTAGAAAGTACAGGTATTTGGGTTCAAAATGTAAGAAGTAGAAAGTACAGGTATTTGTGTTCAAAATGTAAGAAGTAGAAAGTACAGGTATTTGTGTTCAACATGTAAGAAGTAGAAAGTACAGGTATTTGGGTTCAACATGTAAGAAGTAGAAAGTACAGGTATTTGGGTTCAAAATGTAAGAAGTAGAAAGTACAGGTATTTGGGTTCAAAATGTAAAAAGTAGAAAAGTGGTCAGAAAAATTTGTAGTGGAGTAAAGTACTGATACCAGAAAAATGTACTTAAGTACAGTAACAAAGTATTTGTACTCCACTGCTTCCCACTTGCTGTATGGAGCCTCTGAACTAAAATGAGGGCATGGAAACAGCTGATGGTTATGGATGTATAACATGTTGCCGATGTTTCAGATGAAGCGTACCTTGCCGTACAGCTCTTTGTGGGCCCCTGACTGCACCAGCACGAAGCCCCCGGGCCCCATCACCAGCTCCTCCTCCTTCTCCCTCTCCTCACCAGGCTTGGGGGGGCGCTTGTGTTTGGTGGGCTCCAGGTCCTTTATGGCGGCACGATCGGCACCCAGACCCAGACCTTTGGGGCGGAGCTGGCTCTCGATCGGGATCACATGCCTGAGCAGACAGAAGCAACAGAGTGGATCAATAAACAGAGAGACAGACATGTGCAGGAGAGGCTGGGGGGGGGGGGGGACAAGGATGAAAACAAAATGATTTTGCACGGATATGAATGTGATCCTGTCAATGCTTCTCCTTTGGGAAAATAGTTGACTGTTATGAGGGCTTTTATGCAGTTGCAATCTACATTATAACTGCAGGTAAATGTGCTAAAGCATTCATATTTCACTAGTTGTAACAATACTCACAGTGGAAATTAGGGCTGTGCGATTATGGCAAAAATCATAATCACGATTATTTTGGTCAATAATTAAAAGCGATTATCCATTTACTTTGAAAACATCCATTTATTGAAAAAAAAAAATGTTGAGTATGTTTTTAACAGTTGATTACCCTGAACTTTAAGTATAATTCAACTGAAAAACCAATACAAATATTTCTTCAAAAAATAGAAAATAATCGTTTTATTTCGATTACGTTGTTTTCATAATCGTTGCAGGCCAAAATCGAGATTAAAATACGATTAATTGCACAGCCCAAGTGGAAATACATTCATTATCCAGATCTGAATGAAAACAAACGTACATTTCTTCAGAATTAACAAATTCCAACACCAATTTAATTTATATTCAACCTTGGGAAGAAACTAATTATTATTTGTATTATAGATTAGTCAGCATTTTTTAAGGTATTTTAAGTATATTTAATGTGAAAAGGAATATAAAAAAAAACCCATGACATAGTCTAAGAGCTCAGGATGAAGTCTTTAAATATCTATAACAGTCCAAAACCGAAAGATAATTGGTTTTAGAAAAACATTAATTAACTTTCAGAAATGTATAATTGTATGTTGCCCTTCTGATACATTCTTTAAGCATGTCTTCGAACACCACAGTGGTGCAAGTTAAGTGTACATTTAAATGAGTAGAGGAAGTAGTAAAGCATCCGTTTGTTTCTTACTGTTTGAAGGTGCGTCCGATGCCTTCCTCTTTGTTCCAGCCCATCCCTTTCAGCATGGCGATGCCATACGCCTCCACAGGAACACACGCATAGTCCGCCTCTGTCGACTGACCAACAGAGTCACATAATGTTAACTTTGATACAAAACCGTGACACATTTCAATAAACAATACTGTGGGGGAAACTCCTGAAGCAATTAGAGTCAGGACTCAAAGAGAGACACGATGGAGAGCTGGAGCTTTGATGGCAAAAACTGACGGTTTATTTGGAGCGTTGGCCGGAGAATTCACAAGACATGTCACGGGCCACGAGTTGACCACACGGTAGAGATGCCACAATCAATTCTGAAGCACCCTCCTGTAGCTCCAGGTTTGAACTAGTTCAGAGTGTAATAATCAACATTCTTCAATAGATACAGGATATATGCAGGAATCCTGAAGTCAAATGTAATAACTTTTAAGACCCTTTTTAAGACCCTTTCCATACATTTTAAGACCTCATCGCCACTTGGAGTTTTAACCGGTTACATTGGCGACACACTTTACCTCACATTGACTATATACAGTATTGATTGTCCTTCCTCCTTATCTTCCAACCATTTGGACGCAGACTTGCATTTCCCCATAACGATGTCGTTTAACAACCGGCGTAAACGGGCCTTCGCACGCTATCAAGCAGTGAGCGTGCGATGTCCTGTTCAGATGACGTCTTAATTTTCGCTAAATTGATTTATCAACTTTTAATACTTTTTAAGACCCCGCGGACACCCTGAGATAGACTAAACAGCTGAGGACACTGAATCACAGTTGTTCGGGGTCATCTACACCCCGAGAAGGATGTGTTCCAGGGGTCCCACAACAATAACTACCTCTGACCGAGAGTTGCCCCTCCTTAAGAGAGATGGCAGCAATACCCAAGGCCGTAGACCTATGCCATGGGAAAGGAGAAAATGATGAACTGTGTCAAAGGTTGAATACCTAGGCAAATGATTCCCCAACAAATACCATTTTCAATATGAGGAAATATGTAAATATAGGGAAATAAAGAGTAAATCAATGCATTTTTCTTCTTATGGCTAGTAGCAGAGAACAGCAGCATCAACAATGACTCAAACTTTCCTACATTCATGCAGCACCATATCCTTTTCCAGGATTGACACACAATCGAAAGTGAATTTGCCTTTTCCATTTAAAAATGTTGAAACAAATTGGGAGGTATTCAACATTCTTATAAGTTGGGTGCAACATTTTTCCTAATAGGACCCAACAATCTAAATCAAGACCACACCACTAGCAAAACTGCGTCGTAGAGAAAGGAATGGAGAAAGCGCAGATAGTAACGAAGATCTGATGTGTGTAAAATATTTTAAATGTATCAAAAAATCCATTTGACAACACTGAGTATTATATCTTCTTAAGCATCAGGACACATACATGAAATGCTAAAAAAAACAAGGAAATACAGACGCATTTAAATGTGTTATGGTACTAAATGCGGTGCTTATGTAATGTAATGGTTGAGTTGTGCAGTGACAGAGAGAAGCGCTGTGTGATGCCGCTCTTACTCAGCCGTTTGGCCCCAGGCTGTCAGACTCAGCCGGGCCCCAGCGGCCGCCGTTCAGAGCCGAGCGACGGCCCCGCTCCTCAGAGGGAAGCCTGGGGTCCACGCTCACTGAGCAGCCTGCATTTAAACGAGCTCGGGGCCACAGACTGACAGTTCTTCTGCAGTGACACGGAGCAGAGCCGGGGTGACAGAGACGAGGCGTTCGAGGCCTCTCGGTGAAAACAGGACGTCTGATTGGCTGCCTGCATGTCTCTGGGGAGAGTGTGGACGCCTGTCTGCCACCCAGCCTCCCTGTCCTGACATCAGAGGTTTCTCTCCGTTGACCGTCAGCACTTTCACACACTCAGATTTCAACCAGAGTCAAAGTCGCCAGTCTACCGGATTTTTCTGAACCGTCAGGAGTTTTCATATTCTCACTGAAATGCCTCTCCAGCAGATTTGATTATGATTTCTACATCTGATAGCAGTTAGAACAATGTACAATTAGCCAAGAGCCTGAGAGCAATTCTCTCCTCAAACAACTAAACAATACCCTGAAGCAAGGCATCACACACAAGCTAAAAACAGAAAGCCAACTATAAAAAACAGAAAGGAAACTCTCAGGTGTCAGGATGGGCTTAAATGTTTATGTTGTTTATGTAGAGGATTATATTATAGTCAAAAATGTCAGACTGTGAAAACTTGTATTCATCTATCATCATTGATTTAAAATGGGTTGATTTTAGTGTTCAGAATTTCAGTAGATTGCATCATCCATCCATCGCTTCAAAATATGGTCTTATGTCTACGGCAGTATGTCAATGACTTGACTTGTTCTCTGGTTCACCAAACACTAAAACATGAATATATTGAAATATACTGAGAGTACATTCCCAACACTTTGTATTCAAACAGTGTATTCGAAGGAAAATGTATCAAGCAAGATTTCATCCAAAAGATAATATCAATCACTGAGTAAAGCAGCTGTTCTTTCTCTCACACAACACGTCTCCACACTTACGGATTCAGGCCTCAGATCCACCTTCACATGGTCTCCGTCCTCGAAGCCCTCAGGGACTTGGTTCTGCATCAGCAGGGGGATGTAGAGGTTCAGGTTCTCTGCCTGAGGGCCGTTCTGCCATTCCTCCAGCTGCCTCCGAGAATCTACGAGACGAAAGTGGTCAAGTATAACAAGCTTTTAATGAGAGTAGGGATGCTCCGATCGCCAATTTTGGGGCCGATCGCCGGAATCAGTATCGGCCGATACCGATCGCCGATCCAATCGAGTGGGCGGGGCCTATGGGGATCTTCCATTTAAAGTGATGTTTAAAACTCAGTTAATGGGGCTCATTCACTGGCGCTTCCACAAACAACAACCAACATAATTATTACATTCAAATGAAGTACATTATTCAAGTTTACATTAACTTTGGATAATAACACGGGGGAAATGAGCGGAAGTGCTCTCTTTTCCTCTCTCCCTCTCTCCCTCTCTCTCTCTCCCCCTCTCTCTCTCTCCCCCCTCTCTCTCTCTCTCCCTCTCTCTCTCTCTCCTCCCTCTCTCTCTCTCTCTCCTCTCTCTCTCTCCCCCTCTCTCTCTCTCCTGACAGCCTGTCAGTATCTCATGCAGCTCACTGATCCAGTAATGAGTGACCCGACAGTGAAGAATAAATATATGTATAACTAGTTTAGCTTGTTCCAGAGGTAGATAAAATAGCCAAGTGTGTTAGGTCTAACTCTTAGTGTGTGTTTTGCTCCGCTCACCGGTCCGTCACAGCGGGTGGAGCTGCAGGATTTCTGCTTCACACACACGTTGCATACCGCTATTTTATTATCTTTTTCGGACACCTTAAAATACTGCCAGACTGGTGAAGCCATTTTGGCGAGCTTGTTTTGCCGCGCACAGAGAAAAGTGTAAATGAGATGTATTGTGGGTAGTATTGGTTTCATTTACACACTTTACAGAAGATGCAGAAGCCTCTCATTTCAAGGAATCGTTAAGAGAACCACGGTTGTTTTTTTCATTTTGTTTGAAGTGATTAACAGCATGCATTTGGTCATTTGTCTTGTTCTGGATAGCATTATAATGATTAAGTGACACTTATCACAAGTCATTACCTGTTGAGGGCCTGTCTAAGCGTAATACTTTGATGTTATAAATGGCTTATAATAAAGTTAGTTACTACTCTTTTACTCAAGTAGTACTTTTACTTGCCTATATATACTTTTTAAGAAACACTTCTATTACCAGGGTACTGTTTTTATTTAATCTGCACCAACACTATTCTGAATGCTTTACCTTCAGATAGATATTACAGGGCCAATAGAAAATCACAACGTCTATACAACTACATAATACAATATCTGGTATGCAATAGATTTATTCCAGGAGATGTTTTAATCACCTTTAAAAACCCTTTTGGAATTGCTTTCGTATGATTTTAGTTATGTTTTATTCCGTTTCATGATGTGTTTGGTAGCCGTTTTGATTGATTGATTGATTGAAAAGTTTATTAACAGCTTGTATATTGGGTACAGTACAGTACAGCTCAAAACATACAATTGTTAAGGGGATGCAGACCAGAGAAAGACTTTCGTCTTGTTTACATCAGGGTCCCCCATTTCCAATTCATCATATCATTTAAGACATCATATCATCATATCATTTAAGACATATAAGACATAAGTTTTGTTAATTTGATCATGTAAGTGTATTAAATGTGTTCTGTTTTATGTGTCAGCACTTTGTAACTCTGTTTGAAAGTCTGTTGTTATTGTTATTATTCTCGATGTACCCACCTTCAATGAGCTCTTTGACGGCCTGGGACTCCACAGAGTCATTCTCCGGAGCAGCTTCCTGTGTTTTGGCTTCCTGTGTTTTGGCTTCAGTCGCGGCGCTCGGCTCGCTGGGCGTCGCTCGGTCCGCACGGTGGTGCCAGCGGTTCTTCTGGATCAGAGGGATGATCAGCTCTTTGGGCTTCTCTGAGGGCTTGGTACTGCAGGGCACAGTCAGGGAAAGACAATATTTAGTTAGTTTCTGTGGCAAAATAATGTTTAAACTAACGTAAAATAAACTCATAACCAGGCTTGGGAAGTAACGGATTACATGTTACGGGATTGCGTAATGAGGATACAAAAAAAGGCTAAGTGTATTCCCTTACAGTTACATAAAAATGTAATCAAATCACTAGTTAAATGGGGATTTTAGCAGGATTACAATGCGTTTTATAATAAAGAATGACAAGGTTGACGTAGTGTTTTTGCTTATCATCTAGGTTACTTTCATTTAATTTTATTTTCAAATGCAGTAAGTGGACACCTGATTTATTAAACAAACATACTTTGTTTGATGTTAATTGATGTGTGTAACAGCGTTTGTAAACGATACTATTCTGTAGGCCTAGCTCAAAAGGAGACATTTTGTATCCTAAATACTTTGGTTTCTTCCTGACATCTTATTGATATTTATTTTCTCTTGTGTTTCTTAGCATTGCATTGATACTCAGGTAATCCAAAGCTAACGGAAAGTAATCAGATTACTTTACTTTTTACGTGATTACGTTACTGATTAATTTTTTTTTAACAGGTAACTACTTACTAGTAATTGTAATATAATACATATTAAAAGTAACCCTCCCAACCCTGCTAATAACATCTACTATTTAAAAACTAGCTAGCTAAGCTAAATCCAACTGACACGTAAAACAGAATAAACGTTTATAGAACGTAACCGCTACGTTGATGCTAACATTCTATGTAAATAACCGGTATGTTAGCATTAGCATCAGATTCTTACCTCAGCAACTCTTTCCCGTCAATTCCCGTCAAGTAATCTTTCTCCTCCCTGTCTGTCACTCCTTCCACAGAGGAAGGTTTGAATTTGCTAACTGTTTTAGTAAATCCAAAGGACAGCGGGGCTGGTTTTTTCTCTGTTTCGTCCTCAGGAACATCTTCCCCGTGCGACGCCATGATTGTTTGTGACCAAAACTGGTAGGTGAACGGTGTTCTGGTAGTTGTAGTTTTATGTGGCTATGCTTGTGGTGTTGAAGTCTTGCCAAAGTACTACAATTCCCAACAGGCATGATAATTAAAGGTAGGCTACATTGATTAGATTCCAACAAATGATAGACATTTTTGTTAGGCAAAAAGCTATATCATATATTATATAAAATAATAAAATAAGTAGGCTACAACTTTACAATATATAACGAAATAATATTTGACTACAGTTTCAATATATTAACAAATACAATAAAAATAATATATATGTATTGGGTAATATAAAATACCCAATACAATTTAATTTTAAATGACTCGAAAACAAATAATAATGATAGTTTATGTTGCCGATTTAACAATATATGAGGACAGAATATTGGACTACAGTTTGAATATACCAAAAAAGAATATATGCTTGTCCTTGAAAATACCGATACAATTTAATTTTAATTCAAACTTAAATTATTTTTATTTTTGTGATAATTAAACATATGCTGCAGACTGTAATTTAAAGAATTACCTAATTTTATATTTTGCTCAATTAAAAAGTGTCTACTCCTTATTAAATAATTTCTGATTATGTTATAGAAAGTATGAATTATTGCTGCGTTCACACCCAAACGGGTTATGTCCATGTTACTATAAATTAGCCTCATTAAAGTCTTATCCAAGCAAAACTCGCATATCAAAAAACAATAACATAATTATGAGTACAAAACAAGTTCGAGCCTTATACATTTAAAGAGACAACTCGTCGTGTATAGCAAATTAGTTTATAAAAGCTCAAATTGATCTTGTTCTCACGCTAACTCGTTATAACTCGTAAACGAAAAGTGATGCAGGTACACACAGAGAGGATGATAAGGGGCGGGACTTTTAACTCTTTTCATTCCCTCCCCTCTGTGCTCCTTAACTTCCCAAGATAACCTGCTGCTCATTTGCATTGTAGCAGTGTTTCTTTGCACTAAAAGTGCTTTTTTTGCGCAGCGGGATTATTAACCTGAGCACACTTTACTACCGGACATCATAGCATTTATCTAATCTGATCTAATCTGATGTGATCTCCTGCAATTGACGCTCCTCGCCCTGAAAGCACCGCGCCTGCAGCGGCTCAATGACACCGACTCTCCCCGGTCACAGCACCGGGAGCAGCCACGTTTCTCTTCATTATCCGTAGTAAAACACACATGAATCCGTAATTAATGCACCTGCACCACCTGCAAGGCTACAGGGAAGGATTTACCGAGGAGAAAGCGATCATGAAGGTAAGACATTCTGTATTTTTTAAGTCAAAATCTAGTTGTTTAATAGTCTTCCTCGCAAGTTAAACTGCATGTTCTGTCTGTCATTCATCCAGTCTGCACGTTGTTTCGCCTGTAGCAGTGCAGCAGCTGCTACATTTATAAGCAGCCAGTCAGATTTGCCTGATAGTGTGTGTGTAGCTTGGTTGTGTGTGTGTGTGTGTGTGTGTGTGTGTGTGTGTGTGTGTGTGTGTGTGTGTGTGTGTGTGTGTGTGTGTGTGTGTGTGTGTGTGTGTGTGTGTGTGTGTGTGTCTCTGAGTATTATTCCCTCTCTCTCCTCTCTCCTCTCTCTACATCTCCACAGAGCATCAGTATCCAAACATCCCGTCAGCCGTGCACATCGCCTCTCACTTTCTCTCACACTGCTTTTCATCATACACACACACACATACAAACAGCTCTTTAAACAGCTGCTATTTCTTTAAGTGCATGCTTCTCAGTTAACCTCAGTCGGGTCGATGTATATAGACGCGTTCAAACGGATCCTCTTTGAAAGGCTCAACTGCTTGAAGAGAATGTGTGTGTGTCAGCGCCAGGGCAGGTCAGTACTATTTTACCCTAAATATGAGGAAACATGAGAATCTGTTGTTTGTAACCCTAGTGTGTGTGTGTGAGAGTGAGAAACAGAGAGTGTGTGCATGTAAACTGGTCAGTGTGTGTGGAGGAGATAATGAGGGTTTGTGATGATGGAGGCAGAGATATGGAGATAAAAGTCCCTCTGCATGAACTTTTACCTCTTTTAAGTGTGTGTGTGTGTGTGTGTGTGTGTGTGTGTGTGTGTGTGTGTGTGTGTGTGTGTGTATGTTGTCAAGCTTTGAGGTTAGTCGACTGATCGATAAGCCGAAAAACAGAAACATTGCCAACAATTTTGTGAAATAATTTGTCTTTTAAGTCCTATTTTTCATGCAGAAATGTCAGAAAATGCTGTTTTTAATGTATCAATTGTGGAGATTTCTGGCCTTTTTCTACTTGATATCATATCAAGTGAATATCTTTGGGTTAAGGATTGATAAATCAAGACATTTAAAGACATCATTTCAGATTTTGAGAAACATGGATGGTAATTTTTCACTATTTTATTAAATTTAACCAAACGGTAAAAAGAGAATAATCATGGGATTTATATTGAACGAAAAAAGCCCTTGAGTGTAAGGACTCATGTTTATAGGTTAAAAAAGTTGATTGAGACCTTTTTGGTTAAATCTATATTGTTCATTTGTGTACTTTTTAGCTCTCCTGCTGCTGAAATGGTCTTAATGAAATGCAAACTCAAGCCCATCCTCAATGCACCTGCTCCCACGTTGCCGTGAGAAATAGACTGACTTGCAAAAAAAACGTACTCTGTAGTTCACGGTCAGGTGTGTGTGCAGGCATGTGTGTAACATGCCTTGCAGCTCTGTGTGTGTGTGCTGCTATGTGTGTGTGTGTGTGTGTTTGTTAAGGGTGTGTCCCTGCTCGATACAGGGAGATTGTTTTGAAGTGATGGATGTTTGACCCTGACTCCATAGTGTGCATTTCTGTGGATTTGGAGAGCGTTGAAGGTTATGCTGTGATAATGAATCATTAAAATGTTGAAAGGGAAGGAGAGGCATGTTTGCCTTTTCCTCAGCTCGGCACCTGTTCTGCACTCTAACTAAGGGAAACCTTTTTCAGAGTCATTCTGCATTCGCTTGTCGTCCATTGAATCCACTTTTCTTCCCAAGTTTGGAGCGGCAGTAAGTGGAAATGCATGTTTCTACACGACTCAGTGCTGAGCGTGGAGCATCTCCTCTCCTGCTGTCTGTCGTAGTAATGCACGTCATCTGGGAGCTGTTGATTGTCTAATTATGTTCCTCCTGTGTCCTTCGGCAGCATGCATATTAATGCTGCTGTTTTAAGGTGGGGTGGAAACTAAGTGTGTGTGTGTGGTTCTGTGTATGTGTGGTTCCGTGTGTGTGTGGTTCTGTGTGTGTGGTTCTGTGTGTGTGTGTGTGGTTCTGTGTGTGTATGTGTGTGTGTGCATGGCAGTTTACCCTTGACGGGGCTGCCGGCGCCCATCTGTGGTCCAAACCTTTGCTCCCAGCCACTGCATTTGCATTCTGCAGTTGTAGCGCGGTCTATTCTTAGTTCCACAGTTCATGTGGAGTCTGGGATCATAGTCAGCAACAACTGGGGATGTGCGATAATTCAATATGTTTAATCATCAACTTTTCATGGAATTATATCATGAGGAATCGTGTATTGAGATGCAATGATATTTCTGAAGGCTAACCCTGAAGGAAGCATTGCAAGGGCTCCCTCCACAAAAAGTCAATGGGTTTTTTCCATTTGATTTTGGATTAAGATCTGTGTCAAACAAACGTTTATCATACTTACATGCTTTGTTCAGCAGGATAATATCCACCTATTAACTCAACTTTATGATTTCTAAAGTAAAAAGCTAACGTTAGGCTATGGAACTACAGCACGGTCACATGACTTCACGTCACCACCGCTAAGCTAAAAGCGGCTAATGTTAGACTATAAAGGAACTACAGCACGGTCACATGACTTCACGTCACCACCGCTAAGCTAAAGGCGGCTAATGTCGGGCTATAAAGGAACTACAGCACGGTCACATGACTTCACATCACCACCGCTAAGCTAAAGGCGGCTAATGTCGGGCTATAAAGGAACTACAGCACGGTCACATGACTTCACGTCACCACCGCTAAGCTAAAGGCGGCTAATGTCGGGCTATAAAGGAACTAGAGCACGGTCACATGACTTCACGTCACCACCGCTAAGCTAAAGGCGGCTAATGTCGGGCTATAAAGGAACTACAGCACGGTCACATGACTTCACGTTACCACCGCTAAGCTAAAGGTGGCTAATGTTGGGCTATAAAGGAACTACAGCACGGTCACATGACTTCACGTCACCACCGCTAAGCTAAAGGCGGCTAATGTCGGGCTATAAAGGAACTACAGCACGGTCACATGACTTCACGTCACCACCGCTAAGCTAAAGGCGGCTAATGTTGGGCTATAAAGGAACTACAGCACGGTCACATGACTTCATGTTACCACCGCTAAGCTAAAGGTGGCTAATGTCGGGCTATAAAGGAACTACAGCACGGTCACATGACTTCAGGTCACCACCGCTAAGCTAAAGGCGGCTAATGTCGGGCTATGAAGGAATTACAGCACTGTCACATGACTTCACGTCACCACCGCTAAGCTAAAGGCGGCTAATGTTGGGCTATAAAGGAACGACAACACTAAAGAAGAAGAAGAAGAAGAAGAAGAAGAAGAAGAAGAAGAAGAAGAAGAAGACATACTTTATTAATCCCTTACAGGGACATTTCTTTCTAAAGGAGGCTAATGTTGGGCGTGATGACATTTAGTCATCTCATTTAGACACTTGTTAGCAACCACCGTTATTAAATTCACCAGTGGGTTATTTACTGATGTCGTAGAACATCTCTTCAGTTTGTGTTAACTACTGTATAGACCTTATTTCCGTTTAATAACCAAAACCATATTTAAAAAAACATTGACATCTGATCTAGCTCAGTCTTAATCTGATCACTTCGTATTGGTGTGCATACATGTTGACATAGTGTGTGTATAGCTGGAAATGTATATACCTTTAATTCTCTGGTGACTGCACCAGAGTCATTATGTTTTGGGATTGTAAAACGCATTATCTCGGAATACTTAGGGAATGCCTGGAAGGAAATATATTCAAATTTGGTACAAACGTCCATTTGGACTCAAGGATGAACTGTTAAAATGTTGGAGGTCAAATCAGAATCATAAATACTCCATTGATCCCCGGGGGGGCAGTTGGATAAATAGATGTCAAAGGTAAATGTCACTGCAACCTCACATCCGTCGTATTCCCAGGAACGCCTGCAGGGAATTTCTCTTTGACTTGGACAAAAGGATGAAGTGTTACTAATTGAGTGGTCAAAGGTCACTGTGACCTCGCCAAACGGCCCATAACTTATTAACTCATAAGTTAATTATGACATTTGTGTCAATTAATTCACACAAATGTCTCGTAGGACAAAATTATGAAGTGATGATATTTGAGACGTACATTTAAAGATTCAGAAGCTTTATTTGTCATTTATGCACAGAAGGTACAGCGCGGTGCATATGATGGATAAAGCTGCATTTATACTGGTTTTCAGAGGCATACAACCGTGAGGCTGGAACTGTAGTTTCTATTATTTCCCCCTTGAAACTGTTATGCTTAAAGACTTAAATGTGTGGTTGTGTCATATATTTAAATATTGAAGTACTAGAGCATGCAATATTGTTATCGAGATAAATTACATGTAGGGTTGGGAGGGTAACTTTAAAAATGTATTCTAGCACAGTTACTACATGTAAAACAGTGTAATCAGTAACCTGATATGAGTATCAAAATATAAAAGTATTGTAACCTTTTATTTAGGATTACTTCAATATCAAATGCATGTGATTGGTCAACCGCTTAAAGATGTCCCTCCCCTTAGAGAAGCACGAGTTTTACATAGTGATGTCACTTTGTTCCTGATGTAAGCAAAGGAAACTATATAATACACTACAGGAAAGGGAAAACCTTGAAAGAAAAGCGCATCCTTAAAAAAAACGACAAATAAACCAGTTTTGTTTTTTTAGTAACATTGTAATCCTGTTTGTAATCCCCATTTGTGGAAATGTTACAGTAATCTGTCTTGTTTCTTATAAGTATTAGGGAATGCAGTTACCTTTTTTTGTATCTTGATTACCCATCACATGTAATCCGGTTACTCCCGCCTGAATATCTCGTGATAGAAGTTTTAGTCGTGACAACATTCCTATGCTGGAGCCGCGCCCGTGTCCCAGCCTCGATTCATCCAGATTCAATTTGGGTCGTCGGTTAAGCCGCCGTTAAGTGGTTAGACTCTGACTGAGGGAGCAAATCAATAACCAATCAATGATAGTGTGGAGTTATAGTTTACACGCTGCCATATTTGAAATGTCAAGAAGGCGGTGAATCCATGTATCCTTGAGTCAGATCTGAGGTGGACAACTGGGATCAATATCAGGTGGTGAGACAGGCAGGCGGGGGTCACCTTCACCTCCCTACTGAATCAGCAGTATCACACACACGCACACGCACACGCACACGCACACACACACACACACACACACACACACACACACACACACACACACACACACACACACACACACACACACACACACACACACACACACACACACACACACACACAACCAAGCTACACACACACTTGAAGGCCTGCTTAGGTTACAAAGCTGCGACCTCACAAAAATGCTCATTACAGCGAAGTGAACCTCCCCTCCCTTCCCTCATGAATTAATCATTTTGTTATTATGGTTTCTTTCATAAGCTCCCTCCTCTGTGTGAATTATACTTTTTTTATTCCATTTTCCTCCCAAGTTGCCGCCGGCTTTATTAACTCAATTTCTGTCTGTCATATCCGTCATCCCTGTAGAGAAGCTGTTCAGTTAAACTGCTCTGTGTTCCTGGAGAGAGCTAGTCTCAGATCAGGTGTAATGCCTCCTG